AAACCCGTGTGTGTGTATGCATGTACTTACCTAGTTGTGTTTGCGGGGGTTGAGCTCTGACTCTTTGGTCCCGCCTCTCAATGGTCAATCAACTAATGTACAGGTTCTTGAGCCTACTGGGCTCTATCATATCCACACTTGAAACTATGTATGGAGTCAGCCTCCACCACATCACTTCCTAATGCATTCCATTTGTCAACCACTCTGACACTAAAAAAGTTCTTTCTAATATCTTTGTGGCTCATTTGGGCACTCGGTTTCCACCTGTGTTCCCTAGTGCATGTGCCCCTTGTGTTAAATAGCCTTTCTTTATCTACCCTATCAATTCCCTTGAGAATCTTGAATGTGGTGATCATGTCCCCCCTAACTCTTCTGTCTTCCAGCAAAGTGAGGTTTAATTCCTGCAGTCTCTCCTCGTAGCTCATACCTCTCAGCTCGGGTACTAGTCTGGTGGCAAACCTTTTAAACTTTTTCCAGTTTAGTCTTATCCTTGACTAGATATGGATTCCATGCTGGGGCTGCATACTCCAGGATTGGTCTGACATGTGGTATGCAAAGTTCTGAACGATTCCTTACACAAGTTTCTGAATGCCGTTCTTACGTTGGCCAGCCTGGCATATGCCGCTGATGTTATCCTCTTGATATGGGCTGCAGGGGACAAGTCTGGCGTGATATCAACCCCTAAGTCTTTTTCTCTCTCTGACTCTTGAAGAATTTCATCTCCCAGATGATAACTAGTATCTGGCCTCCTGCTCCCTACCCCTATCTTCATTACATTACATCTGCTTGGGTTAATCTCTAACAACCATTTGTTCAACCATTCCTTCAGCTTGTCTAGGTCTTCTTGAAGCCACAAGCAGTCCTCCTCTGTTTTAATCCTTCTCATAATTTTGGCATCATCAGCAAACATTGAGAGAAATGAATCTATACCCTCCAGGAGATCATTTACATATATCAGAAACAAGATAGGACCGAGTACAGAGCCCTGTGGGACTCCACTGGTGACTTCACGCAAATCTGAGGTTTCACCCCTCACCATAACTCTCTGCTTCCTATTGCTAAGGTACTCCCTTATCCACTGGAGCACCTTACCAGCTACACCTGCCTGTCTCTCCAGCTTATGTACCAGCCTCTTATGCGGTACTGTGTCAAAGGCTTTCTGACAATCCAAGAAAATGCAGTCCTCCCAACCTTCTCTTTCTTGCTTAATCTTTGTCACCTGGTCATAAAATTCTATTAAGCCAGTCAGGCAAGATTTACCCTCCCTGAACCCATGTTGGCGATTTGTCACGAAGTCCCTTCTCTCCAGATGTGTCACTAGTTTTTTCTCACTGTGACCACTATACATCAGAGATCAGTAATGAAGAGGCTCCATACAGCTGAGCAACAATTTATGCATATAAAATTTAAGTTCACTTTGTGCTAGTATTAAACACAGAAAAAAATAAAAATAATACAACAGTAGGTATTTAATCCCTTGGATGATAATGCCTCCCTCTTCCCCCACCCACCACTTATGAGAACCAAGCATCCAGCTGCTGAAATATAATTAATAATAATTCATTGTATGAGGGGACAGGATGCCAGAGTGTAGTCATACATGTTTTGGCTCTTATTGAGATCCCCCCCCCCCACAAGGCCTCCCCAGCCCAGGATGCAACCCCACAACATGCTGATTAACTCCTGAGTACCTACTTACTGCTAAGTGAACAGAGGCATTAGGTGAAAGGAAATGTGCCCAACTGTTTCTGTCCCACCCGGGATTCGAAAGCCAGAATTCATGATTGTGTCGAGAACGAACCTGACTGTACTACCAGGTTTATATAAAGTGTCCAGAGAAGGACCCTACTAACTTAGGGAAATATGCAGCTGAGGGCAAGCGACACGCAGACAATTCTAATTTGGGAACCTATACATAGGAGAACCCTGTCTGCTCCAAACTCAGAGCCTCACAGGGCCAAAAACCCATTTACTTCTCAGAAGTGGACCCCCCCTAGAGAGGAAGCACTCCTAGAGGCACAGACACCCAGACCCACAGGAAATGATCCTGGCCAGGGGAGGAGCAATGCCAGCAAATGCCTCAGGAAGGTTATCTGGAGGTTATCTGGAGATGATTTCGGGGATTTTTTTTAGTGTCCCCGCGGCCCGGTCCTCGACCAGGCCTCCACCCCCAGGAAGCAGCCCGTGACAGCTGACCAACACCCAGGTACCTATTTACTGCTAGGTAACAGGGGCATAGGGTGAAAGAAACTCTGCCCATTGTTTCTCGCCGGCGCCTGGGATCGAACCCAGGACCACAGGATCACAAGTCCAGCGTGCTGTCCGCTCGGCCGACCGGCTACCGTTAACACATGCAGTACGAGGTGAATAAGTGACTGGAGGTCCTGTCAATGGTGTGGATTTATAAGAACATGCATGTGCAGCTAGCACAAAAAATTTGAATAAACAAAAGTACAGACCCTTGCAGGACAAAGTTCAAAGGATAGCAAACACTTTAGGTGGAAAATTAGCACCCAAAGGGAGGGGATAACTATAAGAACAATGTAGGGTCGCACCAGACACATAATTAATCTGGTGTTGTCGGTTGGAACCCAAGCTGCTGGGGCAGCCACCTGTCGGTGGGAGAATGTAACTAAGTGTTAATGACCCCTAGTTCCTATCGAGTCTATTGTCCCTATACCCATCGAGTTCCTAGTTGTCAGTTTTGTTTCTCTTTTCCTTGTAGCTGCATATTTTGGTGCACCCTTATCTTTCTGGTGGCTTTTCCTCTTGGTTAGGGTGATGTACCTATCTTCTGCTTCCTGTGCTTCTATTGAATTGGCCAGATTTTGTCTCTGGTCTCCAATAAACATTATGACATAGCGTAGGGCTATCCAAGTAGCTACCGAGGGGCTTTCCCTAGAAAAGTGTCCCATGCAAGATAGCACGTTGATGTTTATCATTCCATGGTGTTTTTGAAGCCTTACATCAATAGTGAGTGATAATTGTAAAGCTGATCAATAATTTTCATTTCATTGAGATCAACAAGAAAAATAAGAATTTATTTTTGTGTAAACGATTAACTCACAAAAAGTGAATGGCAGTTTCAGAAGAGTTTAAGTAATATTATTTTATTTATAAGATGTAAATGATGTTCAGAAATTTTTTTGTAGAAAACTCCTCATAAACATGTGTCCTTATATTGCAGTTGGGAGTTATAATAATGTTAAGTACAGGATTATAATTACTAATTGTGGATAACTTTGTAATTACCTAAGTGGAGGCCTGGTTGAGGACCGGGCCGCGGGGACACTAAGCCCCGGAATCATCACAAGGTAACCGCAAGGTAAGTGTAATTACCGAAGTGTAGTTACAGGATGAGAGCTACGCTCGTGTTGTATAGACCATGGGGACACTAAGCCCCGGAATCATCACAAGGTAACCGCAAGGTAAGTGTAATTACCGAAGTGTAGTTACAGGATGAGAGCTACGCTCGTGTTGTATAGACCATGGGGACACTAAGCCCCGGAATCATCACAAGGTAACCGCAAGGTAAGTGTAATTACCGAAGTGTAGTTACAGGATGAGAGCTACGCTCGTGTTGTATAGACCATGGGGACACTAAGCCCCGGAATCATCACAAGGTAACCGCAAGGTAAGTGTAATTACCGAAGTGTAGTTACAGGATGAGAGCTACGCTCGTGTTGTATAGACCATGGGGACACTAAGCCCCGGAATCATCACAAGGTAACCGCAAGGTAAGTGTAATTACCGAAGTGTAGTTACAGGATGAGAGCTACGCTCGTGTTGTATAGACCATGGGGACACTAAGCCCCGGAATCATCACAAGGTAACCGCAAGGTAAGTGTAATTACCGAAGTGTAGTTACAGGATGAGAGCTACGCTCGTGTTGTATAGACCATGGGGACACTAAGCCCCGGAATCATCACAAGGTAACCGCAAGGTAAGTGTAATTCCCGAAGTGTAGTTACAGGATGAGAGCTACGCTCGTGTTGTATAGACCATGGGGACACTAAGCCCCGGAATCATCACAAGGTAACCGCAAGGTAAGTGTAATTACCGAAGTGTAGTTACAGGATGAGAGCTACGCTCGTGTTGTATAGACCATGGGGACACTAAGCCCCGGAATCATCACAAGGTAACCGCAAGGTAAGTGTAATTACCGAAGTGTAGTTACAGGATGAGAGCTACGCTCGTGTTGTATAGACCATGGGGACACTAAGCCCCGGAATCATCACAAGGTAACCGCAAGGTAAGTGTAATTACCGAAGTGTAGTTACAGGATGAGAGCTACGCTCGTGTTGTATAGACCATGGGGACACTAAGCCCCGGAATCATCACAAGGTAACCGCAAGGTAAGTGTAATTCCCGAAGTGTAGTTACAGGATGAGAGCTACGCTCGTGTTGTATAGACCATGGGGACACTAAGCCCCGGAATCATCACAAGGTAACCGCAAGGTAAGTGTAATTACCGAAGTGTAGTTACAGGATGAGAGCTACGCTCGTGTTGTATAGACCATTAGGGGCTGGGTTGAAAATTACACAATTTTTCAAAGCAATCCAGAACAATTAATCAATGTTGCCACATGCTAAAGAATTACTGTAAAAGGTGAATTATATGCTATTTAGGCTTCGTGTCTTCCTAATACAGTACAATATTATGCATTTAAAAGTATCCTGATTATCGCGTTCTTAGCCTTTTGACGAATTGCAAAGTCTGGAAGACTTTCTGACACTGTCTTTGTTACAGAACATAAGAAAATTCTTCGACACAAGACAAGCGACATCAAAGGAATCAGATACGTGCATTGCTTTCAAAGCTACAATTAATTAAATATAGCAACCACATGATATATTATTGTAAAATATAATAATGAATTAAAATTAATGAATTAAATGGATTGAATGGATTAAATGGTGAATTAAATGGAGAAGAAATATAATTGATTATTCCTTCTGTGTTCAGTATGGAACATGAAATATGTGGTTAAAAAACTATAAATATTTAATCTTTTAATTAATAAAACACTCGCCTATAAATTGTCAACCTGATCATCAGAAGCACCAGAAGCATTCATAATGGACTCATGTTGGGCTGTGTCATCTTCGTCATCATCCTCATCATCTTCATCCACTTCCATTTCAAATAACCTAACACGTCTTCTATTCTCTGAGAGTAAAAGTGCAACCTTACGTGATCCAGACACCGCCAGTGAAGAGAGGGGACCACCCTCAAGGCGTCTGTACCCACTAGCATCCACCAGCCTACATGCATCTTGGGGAGTAACACCGGCCTCTGCTAAACGCCGTCCTCCATACACTGCCAAAGGCTTCAGCCCTCCACAAGCCGTTTGCATCCATAACTGAATAAAAAACGAGGATTTAGAATCGGCAGGATCTTGTGCCAGCACAGAAAGTGTGTCTTCAGCATAAAACTGTGCCCCAATTAAATGCAGAAATGGAGATGGTGGGCCAAGTTGCTCTGAGGAACACCCTCGTGTTCCCTCTAGTCTTGAAAACACAAAAGGAGCTGCCTCTACATGATGAGCAGGTCCTGGTGGTGCATTGGCCTGAGCAAGGCGTTCAGCACTTGTTGGCCAGCGTGCCAGATAGAGAATCGTTTGCTTAGGACCAGGAATAAGAACAGTATACATAGCATTGTTACGTGGACAACTGATCTGACTCACACTAACTGGCCCAGTTGGTGCTACAGCCATAAATGGGACCCAAGCAACAATGTTTACAGCTCCACTTATAACTTTTGCTGGTTGTCCTGCCATATTATCCAAAACTCGCTCAAGATTCTTGTGTTCCTGCAAGAGAGAACGCTCTGGATAATGTGGAAAAATAAGAGAATGCTCAGCAACTGCAGGATGCTCTGCAAGAAAGACAGCCCATGGATTACGTCCAGATTCTGGTGGACATGAGAGTGGCGCATCTTTTAGGTACTGACCAACACGTTCTAGGCGGAATCTTGTGCGCTTCTCACCATCAGGTCCTGTTTCTGTGTCTTCAAGACTATCATGCAAAAACTCTGTTATGTAAGTAAGGTCTTGCTGAGTCATGCGGCTCATCTCATCTGGTACAGTTTCACCTCGTACACGCTGCACAACAACATACAGCCATCGCAGAAAAGCCTTAAAGGTACTCATTGCACTATCTATTACCTGCTGCAACTCAACAGCCTTGAGTACAAATGCCCCAGCCTCTCTAACTGCATTTGTGACAACATCTTCCTCAACGCCTAACATTCCAAAACGATCATGGTGTCGTGCTAGACCAACTAGTGCACTTAGCTGGTATACAAGTGCTTGTCCCACTGCTTGCACATTGCGTAAAACTAATTTCTGGATGTTAGAATAGCTAAGCTCTATTGAATGGCCCAATTTTTTTAAACCTTTCTCAGTAAGTTGGTTTGAGAGAAACATATCAAATTCTGTTGAAGATAACCCAAATACTAAAAGATCTAAAAAGTCAGCAGATACACCACCTTCAGGAACAGTTCTGGCATATGTTGCTAACTTAAGATCTAATTCAAGCAAAATATTCTCCCAAGCTTCTGCTAACAGAGTAAGTGTATGTGAGGCATAGGTCATGAGCCCACAGATCTGGCCGTAGCGATAAGCAAGTGCACGGAGCTCCTGATGTCGGCAAGCTAAAATCAATGTTTCTATCGTTACATGCACAACCTCCCTCTCTCCTCCAATGTCTCGTTCCACCAAACAACTCAGCAAATGAAGATCATGGGAAGGTGTAGCATCTAGAACCTGCCCTGCTCTTGGCACCGAGTCGGCCAAGTTAACAGTAGCACAATGAAAAAGCCCAAAGGCATAGATGTAGACGGATGCTGCAGCTGTGGCAACCGTGAGGAGAGTTAATGATGTCTGATCCCGTAGAAGACAACCCTCGTGCCACCCTTCCTCACGGTCCTCTCCACTGCTTCCTGTGTATGTTTTTGAAAGGGAAGGAAGTGGTGGTAGAAACATCTCTGATGAGTCCTAAAGACAAACAAAAGAAATACACTATTACTGGTACAATACTCTTTTATAATACTCAAGCAATATTATAATGTAATATCATCTGCAAGGGCTAACTGAACAGAATTTTGCATAAAAAAGCAGAGCCAGTTCACATGGAAATTATTGTGACTTTCTGGCTATCTAAAACATCAACTATTTAATCTATTTGTCAATAGATTAAATATTGACAAATATTTAAATAGTACTTATAGAATAAGCCTTCCTATGAAACAGTCAAAATATAACTTTGTGATGGGAAGTCATTTTAGTATTGGTGAAACATTTGCATAAAACCAGCGTTGACTGTAATGAAATGCCATTTACTGGGTGAGGCCCCGGAGGCTCCCTGGAGCTATCGGGCTAATGTGTGCTATATTAGACCGGGAGATTAGCTATGGAGTTCGACCTACCAGGGACCATGAGCCAGAATCTGGCCCCTTTAGAGAGGTTTCAGGGAGCAATGGCCCTTGAAAACCTCCCTGTGGTTGGGGGTTTTCCTTATTTGCCATCGACTAGGGTTAGGCACCTAAAAAGGTAGGCTTAACAAAACAAACCCCACATTATAAGAAACTAGCAATGAAAAACTGAAAAGAGAGGTAGAACTCCCTTCAAACCCAAGGAAACAAGCAAACGTCACATTCCACCCCGTACCGCTTGTCTGCGCAGCCCTCCCCTCCCCAGGAGGGGGAGTGGGGAGCCCTGGATCTCCCCACGCCGGCTACCCACCCATCCAGTTTGGAAGCTAAGTATCAAACAACGCGAAAAACCGCTGACCAGTGGGAAGGAAAGTTGCCAGGGAGTCTCCAGGGCTCACCCAGAAAATGGCATTTCATTACATTCCACACTGGTTTTCCGTGGGGAGTCCCTACGGCTCCCTGGAGCTACATACCCAAAGATAGGGAAAAAGAGGGACTTACCCGGGAGGCAGCTGCCACAAACTCCTCAACGCAAAGTCGAGACAACTGGCTGCAACAAGCGACCCAAAGCAACACAGAAATACCCAGGAGCAGGGACGTTCAGCAAAGCCAGCCTGCGGTCTATCCTTGTGCCCATGACATTAAGAAGTTTGCTGTTCCACGCCCGAATATCAGCCCCAGACATTTTGCCAAACACGGCAGCCAAAGCAGCAAACTTCCTAATGTAATGGGCACAAGGATAGACCACTGGCTGGCTAGTCTTAAGAACCCTGCGGAAGACCTGGGAGACCCAAGCTCTGGAACAGGGAACAAGGGAAACTGGATTGACCCAAAGTGCATCCCCAGCCACTGAAGCCAAAACACGCAGAGAACGATGGAGAGTCGCAACCTGACAACACATGATGCACCCCCGGTCTAACCAACCAAGCATCAATGACCCAAGGACCCCTCCGGAAAGCAGCCATCTCGTTCTTCGCCAGAAAAGAAGGAGAGGGCTGCAAACGAACAAATCTACCACCAGGACCGAAAGAGCAGAAACCCCTGCGCTGGAGGAGAGCATGAAGCTCCCCGACCCAACCCCCAAAGGCCAATGTCAACAAAAGCAGAGCCTTGGAAAACAATCTTGAACCGAAGGGGCCACCACAAACCGAGGAGAGGAAAGGTAGGAGAGCACCCTGTCCAAGGACCAGGATGGCTCAGGTGGCACATGAGCAGACCAGAGGTGAAAGAAAGCATGAGAAAGCTTACGGAATGGGGCAGATGAGACTTTCACCCCGAACGCGAGCTGGAGCGGCTCCTCCATCGCCGCACAATACAAAGCAAGCAACAGTATTAGGCATCAAATGGTCCCGAAAAATTCAAGACAGAAAGGACAAAACAACCCGATCCGTGAAGACAACCTACAAAGAGAGAGAAAATGGCAGAAAGAAAGCCAAGAAACTTCATACTGGCACCGAGACGAAGCTCGCAGGTGGGACACCATCAATGAAGCCACCTGATCACCATACATATGGTGATAAACCCACAACAAAAAGACCAGACGCGAAGAGCAGAAGAGAAGACCGAAACCAGCTGTGTACCAGACTGGACCGACCTGCTAAGAGGCAGAGCTGTGGGAAACGACCTGGGTTTGCACACTGAGCAAGCAGTGCCCGAAACCAAGGCCGGGCCAGCCACCAAGGGGGCCACGAGGACTACTCTCCCTGGGTAGGACTTCAACCAAGCCAGAACCCAAAGCAACCGCTGAACCGGGGGAAAGAGGTACAGGGAACCTAACCAATCCTGCCGATAGGCATTCACCGCGACAGCCTCGCAGTCGGGGAAAAGGGCGCTACATTGATCGGGAGATGCCGCGACCACACCGACGCGAAGAGGTCCATGTTGGGAGCCTGTATGTCCGGAACCATACCCTTGCTGAGTACTATCTCCCTGCACCCCCCTCATCTCAACTGCCAATGTGTGGCTATAGGCAGACCCTCCTTCCCCTAATTTATTATTCATGAGGAGTGAATGCAACAGGAAAAGACATTGTCCCATTTCTTTCAGTGCGCTTCTAAATGACTTGTCTGGGAGCAGAATCCTGTTGCTTTTTTACTCTCTGCAGCATAGGTTAAGTCCCTCCTCTATGGTTGCGTGTGCTTATATTTGTTGAAGACTAAGCTTTTAGCGGCGGGAGAATGAGCAAGCTCAGGAACAACATACTCTACTGCTCAAGTGCCCTTCTTTCTTATGTTCCTTTGTGGCATGTCAGGAAGTATGTAGGTGAATGGTGGTGGGCTTTAGAAGCAGTGCTGCCACCTGGTGTTGAGCACCAAGAGTAAACAAGTGTAGTGATTAATAACTAGTCTACCACTACTAGTCAAACACGTGAAGTTATGGAAGCTCTTTCAAAGACTTACGTTTACGAACAGACATTCTGGCTCGGAATGATAATTCATAGCTGGACTTAAATTTTCTCCAGTGACTCCCATGGACCTTATATGAACTTTCAGGGAAATTTTAAAAAAGTTGCTGTGAAGCCAGCTTTCTATGTTAACCTTACCCGACTATAGATGATCTTTAACATGACACACAGCAGATCATATACATATGGAAATGGCATAAACATATCTCAGAAATTATCTTTTCATAAACTTGAACTTTATTTTTATACTTAACAAACCTCAAATAAGGTTTCCTTTTTAGAGGCTTCCTCAGGAACATGCACAGCCCAATTGAGAGCCGTAACTTCAGCATTGGCATTCAGCTTGTGAACTAGGCTGCTATCTTCTATGTCTACTAGAATCACTTCACCTGTTGGAATGACATTACATTAGAGAAATTTAATCTGCTACCAATTTAAAATTCCTATATCATGTACCATACTTTAATATAAAACATCAAACTCTTTTGAGAAAATATTGAAGCTGCACAATGAGCTCACACCCATATCCCTCAACCCCACAAGCACTATTTATTATACAGTATTATATATACAAAACTCTAGTTTGGCACAGATGACACATCCATGATGCTCATTGTGGTCTAACTAACATTTACTAAAATTAGGTAACGCAACCTAATCCAAAAAAATATTTGAGTTAGTGCTATTTAAAATCAGAGAATAAGCTAGGAATTAAGTGGCACCTTGAAATAGGGTCTAGGTAGAAAAAGTGTAAGCCAACTACTGTATATCATGTTATTTCCAGAATTTGTTTAATGATTTGGCCAATATTCACTGGTTTAATTCACCCCTATTGGCAAGGGTATTCCAGCAATACCCTTGGTAATAGATTAATACTGGCAATAATAACCCAGCTGCAATATTCATTGATATAACCTATGACCACTGTGGATGGGAATGCTCGATACTGTACTTGGTAATTTTTGTATATTTTTCTACTCTTGATTACACCACTATATATGTGTACGATCTTAAAACTGAATTTTTTTTTAAACTCTTTTGTCATTGCTACTCTTTAAAAGCCTTAAATTGCTCTGATCACCCAAGTGATTTGCCCATATGCTCTAATTGTCTTGAGATGATCTAAGGTACAACAGTTTATTCAAAAGTATTCAGGCCCCGAGAGGATGTCTGCCATTTTTTTTAAATTGAGCACAAATGTTCAGCTGCCTAGGGCATCAGTCTGATTGTGGCAATCATGGCTGACACATGCTCATCCAGTTCCAAACTGCTGCCTACAAACCCCCGCAAGCACAACTAGGCAAGTACAACTAGGTGAGTACACTTAGATAATCTTCCATACTATACTCACACACTGCAAACTTGACTCAACTTACTAAAATCCCACTGGGTTCCCACACTGGCTTGGTTTCTCATAGTCGCTGCCACGCGTGGAAGGAGGAGGACTTGTTAGGACCGCAGCACCTACAAGATTGACCTTTGCCTCTACTCTTCCGCCTTTTAGCTGACCTGCCAATCACAGCCTTTGCTACCACACCCATTATCGCCAAAGGTGTCATTTCCAGATTAAACAGAAACATCGTTGCTTCCAAGAACTTTGGATCATACTTCTCCATGTTACTCTTTGTGACTTCTTGGCAGCAATATTAGCTTGGGCATGCTAAGCTCTCATAATCGCTTGTACCTCACCTCGATGTGTGACCACCGACTCCTCAAATGATCCACCACATCTTTCAACCATCATTTGTTAAGTATTATATTGCTTGACTCACTAGCTAATACTTACTCCTAACTTGTGGATTACAACACAGTAAATACAAATCTTTCTATATACCAATGCAAAAGGTCATAATTGACAAGGCTCTCATGTTGTTCAGGAAAAGAATTCCCTTCAAACAGTATATACCATCAAAGTGGCACAAGTGGGGCCTGAAACTATTCATCCTTTGTGACTGTCAGACAGATTTCATCACAGAAATGATCATAAATTCTGCCATCAATGTGATGTGTAAAAGGACAATCCATTTGTGTGTTTTTTTGGCAGTGTAGTGAAGACATTGACATTACCATTGACAAACAAGGGGCACATTCCATACACTGATAACTATTACACCAGCCCCACTCTGTCCACTTACTACTTACTTGGTTGAACCCAATACTGCAATATGAGGAACAGCGAAGCCATGAAGGAAGTAAATGCCTTTTGACTGAGACAAGCATCACCATTGGAGATTGTCAGCATAAGATAACCGACAATATGTTCGTACATACTCAAGTGGAAGGCCAAATGTTAAGTGCACATGCTAACAACGATTTACAATGGAAATAAGTTAGACAGTGGAAAGATGAGTTCCGAGACCAAAAAGAAGATCTTCAAACCAGATGCTATATTAGATTATAATATAAATATGCAATTGATTGACAAATGTGACATGATGACTGGGGCAGTGGAATGAGTGTTCTTTCTTTGGTATGATCTAGTTCTTTCAAACTCTCTTCATTCCCTATGCCTTGTAAGTCTAGGAGATGCCTCGTTTGTGTGTGTAATTACCTAAGTGTAGTTACAGGATGAGAGCTACGCTCATGGTGTCCCGTCTTCCCAGTACTCTTTGTCTATAAAGAGTATAACACTTTGAAACTACAGATGGTTTTGGCCTCCACTACCTTCTCACTTGTTTCAACCGTCTACAACTATGTTTGCAAAAGCAAACTTTATATCACTGTTATTTATATCACAGAATGTGTAGAACATAGGTATGTACAGATACAGTATATTTGTGTCACTAATGTGCATACAGTATTATATTCTATGAACAATAAACCATACTATTTTTGCTGTTACGCTCCATACACTGTATGGGTGAGATAATCTTGTAATCCAAGCACAACATGGCACCACATGCCAGTCAGTTGCCAATGGCACCTGACAAAGTATATCAGGAGGCACTTTGCTATGCACATCGCTAACGCTAGCCACAACACGGCTATTATTATCAGAATCCAGGTCACTAAATCCTGAATATGAATAATTTACCCCACGTTCATTTTCTAAAGGAACATGAGGTCCTGTTTGATGGTGCACAGATGGACCAAACTGCAGCTGTATGCTGAGGATGTGTGCCTCGTGCTGTGAACATCATAACCAGCATTGGGTTCAGTGACATTTGAACTTTGTATGTAGTATTCATCACAATCAGCATCATAGAACACTATCATCGATAAATAATCAGTTATTTATTTCATCATTACAAAGTGATGATGTGGGCACGCGCTGCATGGCGGAGCTGTGAGCTCCTGCTACGTGTGCTCCTCATGGTCACACTCACAGTATTAAAGCTCTCACGCTCAAGAGGGGTGGACACGAGTGGTTCCAAGATGGCATCTGATTACCGAAGGCCTGAGAAAGCTGATGTGAGCTCCGTGTACCGATGAGAGTTTTAAATCATACACAGAACTTTTAAAACATCCCTGACATAGTTGCACAGCTTATGGATAATGAATGAGAACATCCATGGGTGTGTTGTGCAGTTGAAGGGTTAATAATGCTAACTATTGTGAACATGTTTCCTTATACTGTAATAGATTTAGCTTTACTTAATTGTTCCCTGAAACAGATATTTCATACCTAAGCTCTAACTTTGCAAACTATAGGTACAACATGTGGAAGCTCTAACCTTGCAGACTATACAAACCTGTCGAATATCCAACTGCAAGAACTTTACTGTCGGGCCGCCATGCCAGTCCTGTGACTTTCACGTTTTCCCCTGGTGAGCTAATCACCCAAACACGCTGCCAGGACAACCGGTGCATTGCAACTTGACCTAGGAAAGTTATCCTTTGTTAACAAAAATCTGAAGAAATGGTGAGAACGTGACCAAGTAATTTCTTTACAATAAGACACCAAAAGAAATGATAAATATATTTTAAAGTATGCTTTAAATTGAGAATAAAGTGCAATAACGTGGCTGAAACAAATAGAGTAACCAAACTCACACATATCAAGCGAACTGAATGTGAATACATTTCGGTCTGTCCTTGACAAGAGTACAGGATGGACACGGACCGAAATATCCTTAGTGTTAATTCATGTGTGTGTGTGTGTGTGTGTGTGTGTGTGTGTGTAATTACCTAAGTGTAATTACCTAAGTGTAGTTACAGGATGAGAGCTACGCTCGTGGTGTCCCGTCTTCCCAGCACTCTTTGTCATATAACGCTTTGAAACTACTGACGGTCTTGGCCTCCACCACCTTCTCACTTAACTTGTTCCAACCGTCTACCACTCTATTTGCGAAGGTGAATTTTCTTATATTTCTTCGGCATCTGTGTTTAGCTAGTTTAAATCTATGACCTCTTGTTCTTGAAATTCCAGGTCTCAGGAAGTCTTCCCTGTCGATTTTATCAATTCCTGTAACTATTTTGTATGTAGTGATCATATCACCTCTTTTTCTTCTGTCTTCTAGTTTTGGCATATTTAATGCTTCTAACCTCTCCTCGTAGCTCTTGCCCTTCAGTTCTGGGAGCCACTTAGTAGCATGTCTTTGCACCTTTTCCAGTTTGTTGATGTGCTTCTTAAGATATGGGCACCACACAACAGCTGCATATTCTAGCTTTGGCCTAACAAAAGTCATGAACAATTTCTTTAGTATATCGCCATCCATGTATTTAAATGCAATTCTGAAGTTAGAAAGCATAGCATAGGCTCCTTGCACAATATTCTTTATGTGGTCCTCAGGTGATAGTTTTCTATCTAGAACCACTCCTAGATCTCTTTCTTTATCAGAATTCTTTAAAGATTTCTCACATAATATATAGGTTGTGTGGGGTCTATGTTCTCCTATTCCACATTCCATAACATGACATTTATTAACATTAAATTCCATTTGCCAAGTGGTGCTCCATATACTTATTTTGTCCAGGTCTTCTTGAAGGGCATGACAGTCATCTAAATTTCTTATCCTTCCTATTATCTTAGCATCATCAGCAAACATGTTCATATAATTCTGTATACCAACTGGTAGATCATTTATGTACACAATAAACATCACTGGTGCAAGAACTGAACCCTGTGGTACTCCACTTGTGACATTTCTCCATTCTGATACATTGCCTCTGATTACTGCCCTCATTTTTCTATCAGTCAGAAAATTTTTCATCCATGATAGAAGCTTACCTGTCACCCCTCCAATATTTTCCAGTTTCCAGAACAACCTCTTATGTGGAACTCTGTCGAAAGCCTTTTTTAGGTCCAGATAGATGCAGTCAACCCAACCATCTCTTTCCTGTAATATCTCTGTGGCTCGATCATAGAAACTGAGTAAATTCGATACACAGGATCTTCCAGATCGAAAACCATACTGTCTGTCTGATATTATATCATTTCTCTCTAGGTGTTCTACCCATTTAGTTTTGATTAGTTTTTCCAATACTTTCACTATTACACTTGTCAATGATACAGGTCTATAATTGAGGGGGTCTTCCCTGCTGCCACTTTTGTAGATTGGAACTATGTTAGCCTGTTTCCACCCGTCTGCTACGATTCCTGTACACAGGGATGCCTGAAAGATCAGGTGAAGTGGAATGCTGAGCTCAGATGCACATTCTCTCAGAACCCATGGTGAAACGCCATCTGGGCCAGCTGCTTTGTTCTTACCGAGCTCCTTGAGCATTTTTTCCACTTCGTCTCTAGACACCTCTATGTGTTCTATGTTGTTCTCTGGAATTCTTATTGTATCTGGTTCCCTAAAGATTTCATTTTGTACAAACACACTTTGGAACTTTTCGTTTAGTGTTTCACACATTTCCTTTTCATCTTCCGTGAATCTATTTCCCATTTTCAACCTCTGAATATTATCCTTTACCTGCAATTTGTTGTTTATGAATTTATAGAATAGACCTGGTTCTGTTTTACATTTGTCCGCAATCCCTTTTTCAAAATTTCTTTCTGCCTCTCTCCTCACTGCCGTGTAGTTGTTTCTCGCATCTTTGTATCGCTGGTATGTTTGGGGGTTCGGCCTCTTCCTGTATTGATTCCATTTTTGTGTCTTTCGGTCTCTAGCCCTCTCGCAATTTCTATTGAACCAATCCTGTTTCCTAGTTCTGCATCTCTGTTTTGGTATAAATTTTTTTGTGCCTTTATCATATATTTCACAAAACTTGCCATACATCTCATTCACTTCCTTGCCTAGCATCAAGTCTGTCCAATTATACTCACTAAAAAAATTTCTAAGGTCACCATAATGTCCTCTCCTGAAGTCTGGTTTTTCAACTGCTTCAACCTCCTTATTTTCTTCCAGCTTATAACGCATTGCATACTTTATTCCCAAAAAGACATGGTCACTTTTACCCAAGGGAGGAAGGTACTGAATGTCAAATATCTCTTCCTCCTTCCTGGTAAATATCAAATCTAGCATGGAGGGAACGTCCCCTTCCCTCATCCTCGTAGCTTGTTTAACATGTTGATACAAGAATGTTTCCAGGATGAGGTCTACAAATTTACAGGTCCAAAAATCTTCTGTTTTAGCTTCATATGCTTCCCAGTCTATGGATTTCAAGTTGAAGTCACCGACTATCAACAGTCGTGATCTATCGTTATCCGCTCTCGCTATAATCTCTCTCATTATTGTTATAAGACCTTCACGTTTACTACCTAGCTCCTCCTTTGACCATGTGCTGCTTGGCGGTGGACTATATGCATTTATCATCATTAGTTTATCATCCTCATAGCAGATCTCTAGTGCTATTATGTCAACTTCTTGTGGATTGGCAGTCATTATTTCCTTCACCTTTAGGTGTTCTTTTACCAGCACAGCAACGCCACCGCCTTTCCTAATTTTTCTGTCCCGTCTCCAAATTGAGTAGCCCCTTGGGAATATGACCTCATTTAAAATTACATCTTCAAGTTTTGTCTCCGTGAGTGCAACAATGTCTGGTGTCTGCAGCTGTATTACATCACTTAACTCCAGTATCTTCGATCTCACTCCATCTATGTTGGTGTATGCAATCTTCAGGAACTTGTTCCCCCTCTCCTTATTCTTCACTCCCCCTCTCTCTATTGATTTTGTTGGTTTGCCTTTATGTACCACTTTACTGGTTTGCCTACCCCTATCACTTTGTAGAAAAAAGAATTTATTTCTTCTTCATTCCTGCTCTCATTTAAATGTTTTGCCTCGGCGAGGTTCAGTTTCAGCTTCTCTCTATCTTCTTTTGAAAGATCTCGTCTTAACGACCACCCTTTCCCATCCTCATCCCTTTGCAATTTTCTAGCATTCCTTAGTACTTCTTCCATCTGTTTGGCACCGTTTAGGGTGATCCTCAAAGGTCGATCTTTCCCTTTACGTACCTGCCTATTCTCCTGTAGTCGCACACATTCTCTCTGTTTGTAAGACCTTCCACGAGGCCAACAATTTTATCTACTACTTTAGCTTCTTCTACAGCTCTTTCTGACCTAGATGTTATCGCCTTTTCTTTGCAGCCAAAAATGATCAGGGACTTACTCCGATCAACTGTGTTTTGCACCAACTTCGGGTTAGATGCCAATTCTTTCCTCACTTCTAGCCTAATGTTTGTGTGTGTGTGTGTGTGTGTGTGTGTGTGTGTGTGTGTGTGTGTGTACTGGGTTCTTTATAAGTATGCTTTAACCCTTATGCTGCTCTGCTATTAATAGCCTTCAACACTACCTGGCGCAACAACAACAAAAATTCAATTTTTTTTTTTTTTTTCGTTTTATAAAAGTGTTCATTTGTGTTCCCTGAGCACGAGAAAAAAATAAAAAATTTAATTGTACTTACCAATGACCTAAATGAGTCAAGAAGCTGGCCGATGATGTCACAAACCGTGCTCGCTCAAGTATGGTGCGTTCCGGAGGCGTCACTCATGGCATTCAAGCCACCCGAGTTGCCACGAATAAATTTTCACGGCATTATTTACAGTATCTATGGCATATTTTACAACCATTTTTTTCACTGATATTGTTCAATATATTGTCACTTGATGTTGTATTATAATAAAACTGTCATAAATTTAATACACTCTTACATATTAGTGTCAAAATTATGTGCACCAAATGTTGTATTTTTCTGTCCTGGAAACTGTGATACTCTTTGAAACAGTCGACATAGCACAAAGGGATGGCACATGCTGGGCACCATGTTAGCACCACTTTACATTTCCATGGCCTCTTTTTGTGTGGTCTTATACACATTGCACTCACGCTGGCCTGCTGCACACTTTCCAGTTGATGGTAATTTTTTATTTTGTGTGTCTGAAAGGCCTCCCTGAAAGCGAGCCTGGGTGTGTTAGCATGGTGCAATACTGGGTCCTGAGTGGGTCTTTGTATGCCAGGGATTTCTTTGCCAAACTTTCTTAGTAATTGTTTCACAACTTGAAAACCAAATGCACGGAAATGTGATTTTGCTTCCGCTTTTCACAAGATACATACTGTAAATGTTCAGCATTGTTACGTCAACAAGGTGGAAAAACATCTTGGTCCACTTCACTGTTTTCCGTACACACACTCGACTGCCCCTACCATCACATCACATTTATCCACCATGTTTATGTTGTAGTCCATAAGACAATCTGGCTTATAGATTATTTGTCTGGTGGTTCTGTTCTCCTTACCACTGTCCACCATTGTACCAGTGTGAATGGTGGTCAACATGTTCACTTCACACCTGTCTTTCCACTGTACTGAAAGCATTCCACCAGTCTTCCTTAGCTGGCACTCATCTACCTGAATAGCATTGTCAAACACTGCCCTTCATTTTGCTTTTACTGTGTCACACACTTCATTTCTATTATCAGACCGCTCAGCCGGTGGCTGAGTGGACAGAACACTGGACGCGTGATCCTGTGGTCCCGGGTTCGATCCCGGGCGCCGGCGAGAAACAATGGACAGAAATTTTTTTCATCCTGATGTCCCTGTTACTAGCAGTAACAGGGACCTAGCAGTAACTAGGTACCTGGGAGTTAGTCAGCTGTCACGGGCTGCTTCCTGGGGTTGAAGGCCTTGTCGAGGACAGGGCCGCGGGGACACTAAGCCCCGAAATCATCTCAAGATAACCTCAAGAAGATGTCGGAGTCGTCAATATCAGGTTCATCACCCTCCTCAAACAATTCAGTATGAATTTCTTACTCGGTCAATGACTTGGTGGAGTGGTGCACTACGTGCGGTCGAACGCTGGGACGTGATGCGCTTGCCATAGTGTCTGGTGGGTAAGTGAGGCCTTCAGACAATGGTGGCCTACACTGGATTTTTTCAAGGATGACGTCTGTTTACAATTGCCCCTGGCTAGCATCAGTGACCCCTTTACACACCGGGACATTTAAATTATGTGTGGGACCTTTAATCACCTTTTTACGCTGGGTGCATTGCCATGCAGGTTACTCCCACCGCCTATGTGAGTATTGCACAGCATAAGGGTTGAACTAATACATACAGTATACTGTACAAGTTTGAAAATAATGTCTTTACATGAAGTGTTTTTGGAAAATGTTTGTCCTCGAATTAAAAAACCAGCAATGAATGTAATGAAACGCCATTTGCTGGGTGAGCGCCAGGGGCACTCTGAAGCTATTCTAACTGATATGTGCTATATTAGTTTGGGGTCATCAGTCACAGGAGTCCTTATGCCTACTGGGGACCACAAGCCAGAACCTGGCCCCCCCTCAGAGAGGTACAAGGAGCAATGGCCTGTGAGCACTTTACATTTAAAGTATGTCATAATTGACATCGACCGTGAAAGGACCCAGAAAGGTAGGCAAATCAAAACAGACCACTGTCTGGTTAACCTGTGCAATCTATGTCCTAAAAGAGCAAAATAACTTCCCTAGAAAGAAATTACACACGCAACCCTTTTTGCAACTAGCACTCCCGCTCGTTAACTCTACCCCAGAGCCAGCAGCCCACCACCCCAGTTCTTGAATTATGAAAACTGTCGACCGGGGAGAGGGAGGGAGTCAGAGAGCCTCCGGGGCTCACCCAGAAAATGGCGTTTCATTACATTTAAAGCTGGTTTTCTGTTGGGAGCTCTGTCAGCTCCTTGAAGCTTACCCAAAGATAAGTAAAAACAGGGACTTACCCGGGAGGCGGCAGCACCACAGGTCTCAAGACGAGGAAGAGACAATTTTTTTTTTTTTTTTTTTTTTTTTTTTGAGATATATACAAGAGTTGTTACAATCTTGTACAGCCACTAGTACGCGTAGCATTTCGGGCAGGTCCCTGGAATACGATCCCCTGCCGCGAAGAATCGTTTTTTCATCCAAGTACACATTTTACTGTTGCGTTAAACAGAGGCTACAGTTAAGGAATTGCGCCCAGTAAATCCTCCCTGGCCAGGATACGAACCCATGACATAGCGCTCGCGGAACGCCAGGCGAGTGTCTTACCACTACACCACGGAGACTGTAAATGTTTGCGACAGGTGTCCCAAGGCCACACAAAGTCATGAAGGACCCGGTCCGGCCAAGAGTTACCTCACTGCCTGGACCCTGTACGACCTCCAAAACTCCCCACGCCCGAATGTTGATCCAAGATCGACATTGTTGCCAAAAATCGCTGCGACAGCAGCATACATGCACACATCATGGGCACGAGGGTAAACAGCAGGCTGGCTAGACTGAATGACACTGAGAACAACCTGAGACACATAAGCCCTGGAACAGGGAACCAAGGAAACCGGATCCACCCAGAGAGCGTCCACCATCACAGAACCAGTGGCTCCCAGGTAGCGGCATAAAGCCGCCACCAGACACAACATTTGATGCACCCCAACCTAAGCAACCAAGCATTCACAACCAACAGACCCCTCCAGAAACCTGCTGTCTCAATCTGCACCAGAAAAGAAGAAGGCTGCAAATGAACAAAACGACTACCTGGACCAAATGACCAGAAACCCCGACAGCTGAGAAGTGCATGAAGCTCCCCAACACGACCCCCAGAGGCCAAGGGCAACAAAAACAAGGTAAAAAATAAACAAGGCCTTCCAAAAAAAAAACACGAACTGAAGCTCTTTCTAGGAGAGTTATTTTGCTTTTTTAGGACATAGATTGCACAGGTTAACCAGACAGTGGTGTGTTTTGATTCGCCTACCTTTCTGGGTCCTTACCCGGTCGATGGCAATTATGACATACTTTAAATGTAAAGTGCTCATTGGCCATTGCTCCTTGCACCTCTCTGAGAGGGGTGGACCAGGTTCAGGCTTGAGGTCCCCGGTAGGTATAAGGACTCGTGTGACTGATGACCCCCAAACTAATACTGCATAGCACACATCAGTTCATATATATAACTTCAGGAAACCGACGGGGCTCCCCACAGAAAATTAGGCACATTTTATTATGCACTAAAAGCAATCTTGCAATGATGCATCATTGAATTTGAGATGGAAAATAAATTAATTTAATCTTGTGAAAACTTTTCTAAGAAAGTTATTTTGATACTACTAGAGGTATAATGATTCACTGCAGCTATTAAGGATCACCACAGAGGGGGCCAGATTTTCTAGAAAGGAAGAATTTAAACAGAAAATACAGACTGGACTAAACCATGAGAGACGACTGACGAAAAAAGGCTCGGGGTGAGCGGCTGGGTCATGTTCAGCTCATGTTGTCGTAAAGGGCTGAAGAAATGTGATAACCTCTATCCTCTATCATCTCACAACAACCTCTATACTCTAGTATCTTCCATTATCAAGAATTCACAATTTAGGGACCTATACATGCAACTACCTAGTCACTTCTGTAAAAAAAACAGCGTCGAATGTAATGAAATGCCCTTTTCTGGTCGAGCCCCATTGGCTCCCTGAAGCTATGTTGCTGATATAGCTTCCCAATACTTAGTCACATCAGTCATAGGCATCCTGTTGGCCTACTGCAGGCCAGAGCCAGAATCTGGCCCCCTCCCTCAAAGAGGCAAGAGAGCAAAGGATTATTACTATCACCTTCACCAAGAAAGCGCAGAAGAATTACAGACAACTGCACGATTCATGAAAATGAAGCATTGAAACAGCCAATAGACACCACAAACTCATCACTAAAAATAAAATGGCTCATATAAAATTGAGGGCAAAATGCATGCCTATACAAATATGCATGCCTACGCAAAACTGCCAGCCGGCAGCATCCCATCCAAGCCAGCATTCTGCACTCAGTCTATTGCAGATGGGCCACAAACAAATGCTCCTCATAGGGGGGAAAGGAAGTCAATGGGGGTTTATGTAGAAAGGGGCATTTAATAATTTTAATTTAATTTGAGAATTAGTTCAATATCATCCACTGAAAGAACCATAAACCAAAGCCTCAAAGCAAATATGGAATTTCCTCATTCATATTGCACCTGGAGATAAAGAAACTTTCCCTCCATGGATGCATTCTGACCTGGAAACTTGTGCCCACGTATATTAAAGCCCACAAATTAAACTGTGCCCACGAATTCAACAGAAACCAGCCCTCTTGCTCTCCCACTGATCCTAGATCCTGCTCAATTACCCTTCTTGCAGATAACAGATATGTCTCAAACCTCAGATTCTCAGAAGGATTCAAACCACTTAAGTTTGAAAGTCCATAGACAACATATACTATACTGACACCAGTTTGTGCTGCATTTGCCTTAGCACCCCAGAAGACCCCAGAGGAAGTGATCAGAATGAGAAATCCTCTCATTTTAGAACTTTAGTGTAACAGTAATTAAGCTCAGAAATACTTAAGCAACATAGTACAGTTCTGTACGGAATGTGCACTGAACTACTGTACCTACAAATGCTGATAATTAACCTATATAAACCAAATAAAAGAATTCAACTGCCTGGCAAATACATTCTACATTTCAGTCTATCATACTACTGACAAGAGCTATATTTTGGATGATAGGAAGTATGAGGAGTCACCAATATGAGACAAGAACACATGAAGACAGGATTTTTTCCTCACACTTCGCTTTATAAATCTGAGGATAGTATTGAAGATTACCTTGAACATTTGCGACTGCAACTAAATCCATCTTTGGAGACCAGACACATCTTGTAATTTCAGTTGCAACGTGTCGTTCCTCGACTTGCTTCATAATACACGTAGCAGCCATTGTGTTTGGGCAAGTTCTCTATATTCCCAAGAGAACTAAACTAGTGAAAATTCCAGCGTGTTAACAGTAAACCCCATTTTCTTTAGGCACTATGGATATTTTGGCCACAAAACTCATCTTCAGTCTCAATCTCTGGCTTGCAGGTCTGGAAAACAAAGCAATGCCAAAAATAAAATTTCTGCTGAAATCCAAGCTTTTTGGTGATAATGGTGAGTTTTGTCCAGATAATGTATTGTATATTAGAAATTATAATATACAGAACAATAAGAGCATTTGGTGTGACTTCTATGGTGTAAGTCAAAGAAGAGTAATTTATCATAATCTTTTGATAGTGTAATGTTACCATAATCTTGTTTGTGAATAAAATACATATTTATAGAAGTATTAACCAATGTGTGTCGAAGCCTGTACTGTCAGCACGTGCCAAGAAATCGGCCACCTGCAAGCTGGTTGGTAGCTACATACAGCATTTGTATTGCTAACTTTAACAGGGGTTTCAAAAAAATTCACTGAGCATCATGGCATCCATAGGAATATAAGTAGGATATCTTTAAACTTGCTGTAATATGCATCTACAGTATAATCTAGGCAGAGGTAACCTGCTATTGGAGGTAGGCCCTTAATCGTCTTTCGAAGTCCTTGGGAGTATAACTCAGTGTCAAGTCACCTGAAGATGAATTGATGTTATATCCTCAGGTCATCATTAGTTGGTCTGAAACTACATTATATTGTATATGATTATTACATATCAATTAAAACATACTACCTTAAACTCAGGAACAGGATATACAATAATGGGAAACCTTAAACATTAAAAATTTATCATTTGAGTAAATGGATTAGCAAATGGCCTCATGAAAAGGTTATCTGATGCCATGGTAACCAAGTAAGCAGCCTATGTTTTGGTTGCTATGTTCTATTTGTCATTTTTTAACACTTCAAGAAGGCTATTCTAGGTTAGTTTGGATACCCACTGATGGTCGTGTACCTGAAGTCACCTGAAATTAATTATTAGTGTTTGAGAACAGATCCTTCTGAATATCTATTATGGTCCACTGGCGTTACCCCAGACTTCCAGGCACTTTATGTGGTTTTGCAAGGACACTTTATGATATACATATGCACTTGTAGAATTGATGTCGAATGTGTCCTTTCAACTATACAGAGGAACACTATAGACTAAATGAACAAATCCACAAGGGCCGTGATGAGGGGTTCAAACCTACGACAGAGATGATTTGTTCATTTGATATACTGTATATCAAATGTATATAGGCTACCTTTGGGACTAAAAGCTTTATGCAGCTCTTAAATATACATAGAATCCTGTTACGGAAGTGATGTAATGTATACATGCCCCAGCCCATCCTCCTGTTTGGGTAGTACAATGGAGCCTTGATTAACGAATTTAATCCATTCCGGCACCGAGCTCGTTATGTGAAACGCTGGTCTTTCGAAACAAATTTCCCCATTTAAAATAATGGAAATAAAATTAATCCGTTCCACCACCAAAAAACATCAATATGATATTCGATTTTTTAAATAATGGAGCAGCCTTCCTGGCATACACTGAACAAACCTTTATATTTTTTTTTTCAAATTTGTTAATTTTTTATTTTTAATTTTTTATAGAAAATGGTGCAGCCTACCTGATATATACTGAATGAATCTTTATGACATTTTTTCTTTTTTTCAAATTTGTTCATTTTTTTACTTTTCATTTTTTATTTTTTATAGAAAATGTAGCAGCCTACCTGACATACACTGAACGAACATTTTTGACATTTGTTCTTTTTTCTATTTTTTTTTTTTATTTTTTTCTAAAAAAAAATCAATGCTTTGCAACATTACAGCAGTTATCTCTTTACATCCGAGCATCATTGGTATCTTTAAAAAAAATTAATTATTTACCTTGTCGGAGGTGTCCAAGAATTTGCGAGAACCGGCGGGAACGCTAGGAAGCATCACATGGTTTTCTCGTTAATGGAGTGGAAGCTCGTCAATCGAGACAAATTTTCGGGGAATGGTTTGCTCATTACTCAAAATGCTCGTAGATGGAGCCACTCGTCACTCGAGGTTCCACTGTACTTATAGTAATGATGAGGACCATGATACATATATTAACGTAAAAGGCAGTTAGAAAGTAGAAATCGGTACTACTGAATTTGGGCAAACCGGAAAAGTTTTTGTACTGTACTGAAGTTGCAAAGAAAACTTAACCTAACCTAACCTTCCAAGGCCTAATACATGTTATCTGAGGCCTAATATAGTACACATATGTCCTATACTAGGCCTAGGAATATTAAAGTTTATTTTTTATCTTTATTGTTTTTTAACTCTATAATGTGAATAGTACCAAATTCTATGACTCCAACTTCAACATAGGTTGAGCCCCTACTTCCTGCAGTGGATCTGTTGTTTTCCAATGGATTTTAAAACATACCTAATCTAGCCTAACCTAACTAAGCTCAAGTCAAACTAACCTAATAAAATACACAATTTTAAAAATTAGAAAATTATCTTTATCACAATACTTATGTGGATTTAACCATACCATGACGGATACCATCGTGCATGAAAGAGAGTTTTTGTCAATAGAGTTCAAACCCTGCCTAACCTTACCCAACCTTAACCAACACGACTTGACCTAAGGAACCTAAGGAGACATAAGGGACAATCAGAACACGGACTTTGTGGAGTCATCTTGACTACAAGGAGCTACGACTTTTACCTTCTCCCGATGTCTGTTGCTCGTAGTTTTCCTCTGATATATACTTTCAGTGTTGGAGGTTCCTTCTCCTGCCGGTGACAGCGTCAGTTGTTGTTTAACAATACAGTTGGGCGGTCATTAGTGACTTAACACCCATTACAGGACCTCCACCAAGACTCAAACAGACAGTTTGTTGACAAAACAAGATAACGACTGTCCGATACGTTTCATTATGGCTTAGGATTTAAAAAAAAAAACTAGAATTATAAGGTTTTTGTTATTAAACTAATAGTTGATTATCTGGTATCAGATAATCAGAGTGAATATTATTTATATCAATTTGATATATTGAAAGATGCTAAATTACAGTTCTTGCTTAGTGTTAGCAGAAATATAGCGTGCCTCTGAAGCCAATGGCACTGATGGAACGCATTTGGTTACAGACGCATTTTTTCAGGTTTATTTATTTTATTTATTTATTTATTTATATACATGAAGGTACATTGGGTTAGAGAGAATACATAGCATAGTATTTACAATCTTGTAAAGCCACTAGTACGCGCAGCATTTCGGGCAGCAGTTTGTAGACTTAGTTTGAGGATTCAAAAATACCTCGTCCGGCCGACCTTCGGATGTTTTTATTATTATTATTATTATTTTCTACCACAGACGTGGCCACACATTTACAATGCTAACCAACATATATACATTTTCTTCTGTCCTCCATGGACAGGGTGAGAGATTTGTCAAACATATAGTTCAGGGGTTTATTGAACAATCAATCACAGGTGATTGTAGTGCTTTTAAAATGCTAGGCTAAGCTACATACGTAAATACATAGATACGCAGATTTATGTATGCCACATAAAGTGTTCGATGAGTCTTTTACATAGTGTTATTAATGTGCATTTACAAAGGTGAAATGCAATTCTGATCAGCTTCCACATATACTTTATACACATTTATTTATTTATTTTTATATTGCAGTCTCCGTGGTGTAGTGGTAAGACACTCGCCTGGCGTTCCGCGAGCGCTATGTCATGGGTTCGTATCCTGGCCGGGGAGGATTTACTGGGCGCAATTCCTTAACTGTAGCCTCTGTTTAACGCAACAGTAAAATGTGTACTTGGATGAAAAAACGATTCTTCGCGGCAGGGGATCGTATTCCAGGGACCATAGGATTAAGGACTTGCCCGAAACGCTACGCGTACTAGTGGCTGTACAAGAATGTAACAACTCTTGTATATATCTCAAAAAAAAAAAAAAAAAAAAAAAATACAAGAAGGTACACTGGGTTTGTGAGAATATATAGCATTGTATTTATAATCTTGTAAAGCCACTAGTACATACATATACATATATACACACATACATTTGTCTCATTTACTCTGACAGGGTGAGATAGCTGATAGAGAAACTAGTGTGCAATTAAGAACTTAACCACTGAAGGTGATTATAAGATGCTTTTACAAGCTCAGGTTATATAGTTACATCACATACATTGTATAATTGATATATTACATGGTCAATCTTGGGGACAAATCCAATATATCATCAAGTGTTCCAGTATTCATATAGTAGTTACAGAGTTCAGCATACCTCAGCCCAGGAGGGCGAAAGTCAGTCAGTATGGGACATTCTACAATATAATGTTCAAGAGAGTGCATGTTTTCTCTTTCACAAAGTTGACACATTGTGTACTCGACATTTGGGTTTTGAGAAAGCTGCCAGATATGTCTATATCCCAGGCGTATTCTGGCCACTATAACATCACATTGCCGAGTTCTTGTTCTATTAGTCCCATATGTGAATGTCTCCTCACGATATCTATCATAATATTTAATGCTACAACTTTCAGGTCTTTGTGAATTTGTTAGGTCGGTGAGATCTTCATTAGATATTTGTTTAAGTACTCTGTCACTGCTAATGAAACGCCCATATCAATTTCTATTACTGGTTTTCTACAGGCTGACTTTATATCATCAGCATAACAAATGACAGTGTCTTCATTATTAGTTTTAAGATCTTTAATAAGTTTATGCATCAGAACGTTGAACAACAAGGGGCTGAGGACTCCTCCTTGTGGAGTTCCCAGTTCAAAGTGTTTGCTCTCTGTGCTTTTAACACCATTAAACAAAACATATGCTGTTCGATTAGACAAATAGCCCTTTATCCATTTCAGTAATTTTCCTTGTATTCCCAGCTCAGCAAGCTGTTCCAGTATGATTTCTCTGTTTGCTGTATCAAAAGCTGCTGCTAGGTCGATGAAGACTGTTTGAGGGGAAGCTTCAATATGTGCGAAGTACTCAGCAAAACAGTGTTGTGTACTGAGCCCAGGCATAAATCCAAACAGTTGGGGTGACAGGTGTCCCTGTATACGATACACGAGTCGGTTAAAGACAATGCGTTTAAGCACTTTACAGACACACGATGTTAGTGATATGGATCTATAATTATCTGTGTGGTTTAGGGATGGGAACAACCCACCAAATATTTTCATGTTTTCAAAACGTGCTAAAAACAACACTTCATTATTTTGGGCATGTTTAAAATTACGTATTTTGAGAATTTGTAAAGATTATAAAACGTGAGGTCAAAACGTTTTAATAGAACGTGTTTTAAATGTCATAATATAACGTTTTGGAGGAAAGGTTTTTAAAACGTTTAATCTCATTATTAATTATTGTATTTATTAGGTATAATAATCATTATTGCATTTAGAAATATATAGACAAAGAGGAGAGAGAGAGAGAGAGAGAAGAGAGAGAAAGAGAGAGAGAGAGAGAGAGAGAGAGAGAGAGAGAGAGAGAGAGAGAGAGAGAAGAGAGAGAAGAGAAGAGAAGAGGAGAGAGAGAAGAGAGAGAGAGAGAGAGAGAGAGAGAATGAATATTGCACACAACCCCCTGCACTAAGTCTCAACAACTGTTCAGTTCTATTCAAGTTTCACTTTGATTTTCCTTGGACATCGCAGTTCACCTGGTAGTACATAGGTACCTGGGAGTTACACAACTGTTGTGGGCTGCATCCTATGTAAGGCCAGCCGATGGCCTAGGGTGTCCTCGGCTACCTTACCTTGAGGTTACCTTGAGGTGCTTCCGGGGCTTATATATATAGCGTCCCTGCGGCCCGGTCGTCGACCAGGCCTCCTGGTTGCCGGACTGATCAACCAGGCTGTTGGACGCGGCTGCTCGCAGCCTGACGTATGAGTCAGGTATCCTTTGGAGGTGCTTATCCAGTTCTCTCTTGAACACTGTGAGGGGTCGGCCAGTTATGTCCCTTATGTGTAGTGGAAGCGTGTTGAACAGTCTCGGGCCTCTGATGTTGATAGTTCTGTCTTGAACACTGTGAGGGGTCGGCCAGTTATGCCCCTTATGTGTAGTGGAAGCGTGTTGAACAGTCTCGGGCCTCTGATGTTGATAGTTCTCTCTTGAACACTGTGAGGGGTCGGCCAGTTATGTCCCTTATGTGTAGTGGAAGCGTGTTGAACAGTCTCGGGCCTCTGATGTTGATAGTTCTCTCTTGAACACTGTGAGGGGTCGGCCAGTTATGTCCCTTATGTGTAGTGGAAGCGTGTTGAACAGTCTCGGGCCTCTGATGTCGATAGTTCTCTCTTGAACACTGTGAGGGGTCGGCCAGTTATGTCCCTTATGTGTAGTGGAAGCGTGTTGAACAGTCTCGGGCCTCTGATGTTGATAAGAGTTCTCTCTCAGAGTACCTGTTGCACCTCTGTTTTTCAACAGGGGTATTCTGCACATCCTGCCATGTCTTCTGGTCTCATGTGATGTTATTTCTGTGTGCAGGTTTGGGACCAGCCCCTCTAATATTTTCCACGTGTAAATTATTGTGTACCTCTCCCGCCTGCGCTCAAGGGAGTACAGTTTTAGGCTCTTTAGTCGGCCCCAATAGTTTAGATGTTTTACCGAGTGAATTCTAGCAGTAAAGGATCTCTGCACGCTCTCCAGGTCAGCAATTTCTCCAGCTTTGAAAGGTGCTGTCATTGTGCAGCAGTACTCCACTCTAGAGAGCACAAGCGTTTTGAAAATTATCATCGGTATAGCATCTCTAGTGTGAAAAGTTCTTGTTATCCAACCTGTCATTTTTCTTGCAGTTGTGACGGCTACTTTATTGTGTTCCTTAAAGGTAAGGTCTTCCGACATGAGTACACCCAGATCCTTTACATTGCCTTTTCGTTCTATGTTATGATTTGCCTGAGTTTTGTACGTGGTTTCAGTTTTTATATTTTCATTTTTTTCCATAGCGCATGAGCTGGAACTTATCTTCGTTAAACACCATATTATTTTCTGTAGCCCATAGAAAGACCTGATCTACATCTGACTGGAGGTTCGCCGTGTCCTCTATGTTGCCAACTCTCATGAAGATCCTAGTGTCATCTGCAAAGGATGATACAGTGCTCTAGGTTGTGTTCTTTATGTCCGATATGAGGATGAGAAAAAGTTCTAACAGTTCGGTAGTTCTAACAGGAATCCGTTACCTGACATGCTCCATGTCCCAATCCACAGGCACCATCTCGCATAGACCTATAATTATTATAGGTAGAAAAAAATTGGTTGATTCCAGGTGTCTTGTCTTTATTTTGCCGTGTGTTCTTAGGGAAAATATAAACAGAACGTACCACCTTTATAGATGTATTTTCTCGATTTTAATAAAAAAAACATTATTTCATGCATTAACAATAAAACAAGTAATAACAATACAACAGAAGATTTGGCACATTAATATAATACAGATTTGTCTGTATTAAATCAGATAATTTACTGGAACTCGCCCACACATTCCGTGCCGGGAGACTAATACCATACCCCCCAAACACACACCGTAACTGCGACGTTGGTACAACGTTCGAACAAGTTTTAACACCTCCTAACCAGTTATAACAACCAATATAGCAAGTTGTAACAACGTTCTAATACGTCATAAACACGTTAAGCCAAGATGTAACAACTTTATTACAAGTTGTAACAAGCGGAAAATAGAGACAGTTTCGGTTTGTGTTTCCAGGGTAAGACCCGCCCCAGGCGTTAATAAAACTAAGTCTCTACAACCGTAGAGTTATAGTATGTCAACACTATACTTGGCAATGTCAAAACTGGAAAAATGTTTCGGGAATAACAAAGGGATCTTTGATAAGATACCTGGTTTTGTCCCTGCCGAGGCCACTAGAGATGGTGGCCCTTTCTGGGCTTCCTGTTCCAGTCGAGGCCACTAAAGTAATTATCATAAGAAGGCACCAAGCCGGGAAGTAAGTAAGTAAGTAATTATCAAAAGAAGGCACCAAGCCGGGAAGGCTACGTAGCACCATCAAATGGGTAGAATAATCAGAGGGCGCTAAATATCACTAAGGATGCCAATATAAGAACAGAAAAGCATAAGGCGAACAATATCAAAGGTATTTGATTCACCAAGAATTCTATCGAGGGACAAATGACCGTGAGGGACGGTCGGGAAGTAAGACACGCGGTCGTCTTGGAAGTCAGGACATTCAACAAGGATATACATGATTGTAAGAGGGACAATGTAGTTTGGTCAATAAGGAGCAGGGCAACGCACCACTGTGTCTGAGTTAAGCGTGTATGGCCAATATGCAACCTTACCAGAGCCGTTTCCCACCGCCGGTTATGGTGATAGGAGGAAGGCCACAGTGACGTACGACTCTTAAGAGTACGCATTTTTTACCAGTAACAAAACCAACGGGCAAGGATGGAGGAATGAATAACTGGGTAAAAGTCAGAATAAGGAATACCTTTACGGGAGATGGGACAAGTGCAGATAGCTTCCTTAGCGGCAGTATCCGCACGCTTATTTAAAGAGACGCCAATATGGCTGGGAACCCAGCAAAACTCTACTGACTTAAATTTATAGGAGAAAAGAAACAGCCAATGTTGAATCTCTATGACCACCGGGTGGATCGGATTGAAGCACTCCAAAGCCATGAGGGCATTACGAGAGTCAACTACCACCACAAAGGAGGACTGACAACGACAAAGTAGGAGATGAAGGGCATAGAGAATAGCAAAGTTCTGCTTTGAAGATGCTAGCCCCTGGAGGCAAACGACACATATAAGTGTGTCGGGAAAAACAACAGAGTAGCCCACACCGTCAGCAGACTTAGACCCATCAATGAAGATAGAAATGGAGTGGGAGTGTGAAGAAAAGTGCTCAAGGAAACTGCGTTTCAGAACTGTAGGAGGGGTAAAAGCTTTAGAGATGTGGGTCAGGGGAAATACAAAATTTGGGAAGGGGGACCCTCCACAGGGGTTAGGACGGAACAATACGAGGAGAAACATTGGTAATACGAACCGAAAGAGACTTGTATGTGAGACAAACGGACAGAAAAAGGAAGATGGTGAAGAGAAACAGGAACTACAGGAGGGGTAAAAATCAAAGCACGACAGAGGCGAGAGTGAGGATGCTGTAAGGACCATGCAAGATAGCGAAAACAGTAGCGATCACGGCAATCCTGGAGAGATTAGAAAGCCAGTGTCAGCGTACAAGCCGAGGGTAGGATTTGAACGAAAGGCATCAGAGCCGAGGCGCAACCCATTATGGTGCAAAGCATCAAGACGGCGAAGAGGAGGAGGAGAAGCAGAAGAGTATTCAGGGCAACCATAATCGAGTTTAGACAGGACAAGAGAGGAGTGCAAATATTGGAGCATGCGACTATCCGCTCCCCAAGAAGTATGGGACAAAACCTTAAGTAGGTTAAGGGCCTTAGAGCATTCAACTCTGAGGTAAGAGATATGGGGCAACCAAGACAAACGAGTGTCAAAGATTAACCCCAAAAGCTTCGCGGAATCTTTGTACACAAGGGGATGACCATAAAGTGACAAAGAAGGACGAAGGACGACATGCTTTCGAGTAAAAGTCATAGCACAAGTCTTAGTTACAGAGAACTTGAAGCCATGATTGGTGGGCCCAGGACGACACAGCATCAATCGCAAGTTGAAGCCGCCGTTGAAGGAGAGGCGAATCATCACCTCGAGAGCATAGAGTAAGATCGTTGACATAAAGAGCGGAGAAGATGCCAGAAAGAAGGCCATTGAGGGCAACCAGAAAAAGTAGTGCTCAGAACACTACCTTGGGGTACACCTTCATATTGCCGAAAAGAGGCAGAGAGTGGCACCAAGCCTGACTCTAAAGGAACGACGAGAGAGGAAGCTTTGGAGAAAGAGAGAGAGATTACCACGAAGGTCAAAAGAACGAAGTTGGGACAGAATATGGTATCTCCAAGTTGTGTCATAAGCCTTTTCCAGGTCAAAAATGACAGCAACAACGGAGGTCTTCGCAGCAAAAGCAGTATAAATATAGACCTCCAAGTTCACCAGGACATCAGTCGTGCTGCGGCACTTGCAAAAACCAAATTGAGAAGGAGAGAGGTGGTGATGGTGTTCCAAGAACCACATCAGAAGAACATTTACCATACGCTCAAAGAGTTTGCAGACAACTCGTGAGGGCAATAGGGCGCCAAGTGAAACTCGAGGCGAGTTCCGTCAAGTCCAACTCGAGGTGAGTTTCGTCAAGTCAAACTTGAGGTGAGTTCAGATTAAGTTTCAGGTTCCTGGGTGATGGATGATTAAAATTGGTTTTCCTGGTTCCAGTGTGATGGATTTCAAGTATAAATGGACCCAGGATGGGGTGGTGGTGTGTAACTTGAAAGTACTCCAAACTTCAGCGAAATTCTGGATGACCTCAAGCGTTCCAGGGCGATTGATGACATCAAATATTCCAGAACCCAGGATGGGGAAGTGGTGTGTGACTTCAAGAGGCCCCCCAGATTCCAGGAGAGGGTGGAGAACTTCAAGGGTTTCAGGAAAGGGCTTCTTCTTCCCCATCGAGCACTTTCCCTGGCTTCCCCCGTCCGAAGCCCTCGAAAGTCGGGCTGAAGGGGAGGTATTGAAGCCACTTCATCCTGAAATGAACGGAAGATGATGTATATTATAATCAGTTCGTCCTGAGGGAATTTCTACATTATAATGCGAAGAAATACATTTTACATAATGAAATGATAATAAATGATAATTTTTACATAATAAAATGAAATCATTTTACATAATGAAGTGCTATTCAAGAGGTCGGATTGAATATGATACCTATTGCTGCTGTATTTTATAAGCAATTGATGTATAATATGAGAGGTATTGCTCTTGTATTTTAGGAGAGCTTTTGCTGTATTTTATGAACTATTACTGCTGAATTTCACAAGAAACACTGTTGTTTGAGAGATTTTATGAGAGCTACTGCTGTTATATTTTATGAAATGTATTACTGTTGTATTTTATGTATACAGACCAAGTAATATGCCCGAAACGCTTTGCGTAATAGTGGCTTTAGGCATTGTATGTACTAGCTCTACCTATAAGTCAAACAATCCTTGTAAATATTTATTGTATGTATGTACCTTACCTAAATAAAATTGTATTGTATTGTATTGTATTGTATTATTCAATTTTTTCTTTCATACTATTCACCCTTTTGAATAGTATACTAATGTATACTGACCTAATAGTATATTAATATATACAGACCTAGTAATAGTATACTAATGTATACTGACCTAATAATGATATACCAATATATACTGACCTAATAATAATATACCAATATATACTGGCATAATAATGGTATACTAATGTATACTGATCCAATAATAGTATACCAATATATAATGCCTTAATAATGATATACTAATACATGTATATTGATCTACACACTGACCTGGAGATGGTCTCCATGCCGATTGGGAGATCGTAGCAGGCAGAGGCGTTCCTCAGCTCCTGGGCCCCCGCCCGGTGGTGCTTCCCTCGGCATTGTTTGTTCCACTCCAACAGTCCTCTCTCCCTCGGCGTTCCTGTCCACACAAGCTCTCGCTAACACTGGTTTACAGACTTACACACAGAGATCACACTAACATGTTGCAACCCGTTCTCGCAAATTCGTAAAGTCAATATTGACTTATTAACTACGTGCATAGGTGATATACTAAACATAATAGATACCCTTAAAAAGATTCATAGAAAACACCGACCTTACCTAACCTACTTAGTATGTTAAGATAAGCATCTTATTGCTTCGTAATTACAATTATTAGTTAACCTATACCTATTATAGGTTAGATAATTGTAATTACGAAGCAATAAGATGCTTATCTTAACATACTAAGTAGGTTAGGTAAGGTCGGTGTTTTCTATGAATCTTTTTAAGGGTATCTATTATGTTAAGTATGTCACCTATGCACATATTTAATTAGTCAATATTGACTTATTAAATTTGCGAGAACGGGTTGCATGATGCATCAAATGAATCAGTGTAATGATGTAAGGGCGAAGAGGGAGAACGGCCTATTGACATAGCTCAGGTGCAAGGGGAAGTTGTGTAAAATCCTGGTTTGTGCCTCGGAGAGGCTTCGGGATCCAGTAAGTTCAGTAGAACTTCGGTTTCAACTCTTTTACCCTGTCGTAGCTCAGTCGATTAAGGCAGTGTCTGGGATGCTCCCGGACGCAGGTTCGAATCCTCGTCACGGAACTGGTTTACAGAATTTACTGGGGGTTTATTTCCTAACACAAGTTTACTGGGGATTTACCTCCCCACACAAGGCCCTAGGTTCGATTCCTCCGGCAGGACGAAGACCGTTGGGCACTCTTTCACCTAATGCCTCTGTTCAGTAAAATAGTAACCTTGGAGTTAGTTAACTGTTGTGGGATGCATCCAGATGAAAATCAGAAGTTGGCCTAGCGAGGGGGGAGGGCCTCGATAGGTCTAAGTACAGGCTTCCCGTCTCTGACAACGGGAATTCAATAAGGAAATGAGTATGCGAGTGCATGAGTAAATTGACTGGGGAAGTGAATAACTCAATGTGTACAAGAGTCCATAGGTCAGGGAGTGAGTGAATAGGTCAGTGCGTGAGTGAACTAGTCAAGTGTGTACATGGGTGAATAGGTGAGTACGTGAGTGAATGAATCATTCACTCATCATTCACACTGTGTAAGTAATGATTGAATGATTCACCGAATGGAAGATAAAATGAATTAGGGAATTCGTGAATAAGCAAGTGTGTAAATGAATGAAGAATTCACTGCGTAAGTAATATCAGCGAATAAGAGGTGAATGCATGAGAGGAGGGAGACGAGTATAACCGGAGCGTGAGGAGTGAGTGGTGTGAGTGACAGAGGAGGGGGGTGAGTGCTGTGAGTGGACAGGAGTGAGTGAGTGCTGAGAGTGACTAACCAGGGAGGGTGTTGTCAAGGAACACCCCGAGGGCGCCGCCGACGAACATGGGCGTCTGCAGCAGCACCGCCAGGACCTGGTCCAGCTCAGGCGCCCCCGTCTGGATGACCTCCGGGTTCTTCTCCACCCACTGAGACCAGGAAAGAGGCAATTATATAGTTAAGCACTTTCTGCTACCCCAGAGGGAGCACTAACCCGCTCCCTCTCTCCACTGGCTGCTACTCCAGAGGGAGCAACAGACACCTACCAACGAAAATGCCAATATATTTACAAAAATCACAGCAAACTGAGCGAAATATCTAACAGAATATGGGCAGACCGTTATAGATTAGTCCCTCTGAATGGAGAAAATCTGAAATTCTTGACAATTTGGTTTTACTAAGTGTTATCGAAAATAGCAAACACCCGTTTTCCGTGTCAAATGAACTATGCTAAATGTAGCATTATGTAAAATACTGCATCTGCTCAGTAACCACTGTAATCTCGTCCTCTGTATTTGTGTATAAATATAATATTATCAAGCGCAACACCTACACCAGTATGAGTTGGTAGTCGTAGATAAAATAAACTGGCCTGACCTTCGGGAGCAGCAGACCGAAGAAGAGAGAGAACCCGATGACGAAGAGGTTCCTGGAGGAGCCGAGATCGACGTACTGCAGCGGGGAGAGGCCGACGGAGGTGACCATGGCGAACATGACGATGAACACCCCGGCCATCACCGGCTCCGGGATGGTCACGAACACGGCCCCGAACTTCCCCAACACCCCCGATGCGATGAGGATGAGGGCGCTGTACTGCACCACCCGTCGGCTCCCCACCTGATTGTATAATACGGTGAGCTATGGTGACACGCAGGCACTCGGTAATACAATACGATGAACTATGATGACTCGGCATAAGGCGTCATGATACACAGTGGGGTACAATGAGGTACACTAAACAATTAACAGATTTAAAATAATATATGTGAATTAAGTGTACTTGTTAGCTCAGTAACACACATTATTGTGCTCACAGAAACATGTATGAATTTAGAAAACCAATAATTATCGGCGGTATACCCATTCACCTGGTCTAGTCGGTACAGCGACAACTTCACTTCTTGCAGATTGAAGATCAATCCCCGAAGGTCAGAGTAGTTGAGTACCGTGAATTTCCCCTGATCCTTGTCATATCCCTTGCAGCTGCTATGTAGTCATACCGGCATAGCACTTTATTGCAATTAACTTGCCTTACCGGTGTACACACATGTCAAGCAAGCAAAACTAAGCCTTATATAGTAACAATTTGGATTTAACTAAATTTAAGTAAGGAGAAACATTTGAACAGCACTAAAATTCTATAGTTATCGTTACTGAACACACTTGTGACTCGGTGTTGAACGTGAGTGACACCCACTAATTACCAGGAGAAAGTGTTTAGTCAGTATGAACATGTAATATTTGTGGAATGCAGATAACGGATGATGATAGACAAGAGCGGAGTGAAGGAATATGGCAGCAATCACTGAAGACCATTGGGGATTGAACACAGACCCTGCAAGATATGACAAACCCCGACCAGCCCAACTTGATGAGAGTCCTCACCTTGGTGATGCTAATGACACCGATGTTCTGGGAACAGGATGTGGTGCCGTTGCCAGTGCCCAAAAGCCCCGCTAGGAGGCACCCGACCCCCTCAATGCCCACTCCTCGGTTGATGGCACTTACTGGTGGCGGAGCAGCACCTGGGGCACACAACTTGGTGTTTATATATCCCAGGCTTCATTGACGTTAAATTTATAAAAATTTTGGTATTTTAAATGATAAGCTTTCCACTTGACTCTGGTATTCTTCAGGAAAGTAGCGAGATCTTCTCTGATGTGAATAGTAAGTGAAGGCTTCCAAGTGGAGACTTCCAAAGTGTATGTGTCATAATAAGCTGTTTGTGCTATAAAATGTGTATATGCACATATACACATATATGACAAAGTCAGACCACGAAGGAAAAATGAAACAGGAAATTTCCTTAAGTACTTTCGTATATTAAATACATCTTCAGAAGGTGGGAAAACCTTCGGACCTTCTGAAGATGTATTTAATATACGAAAGTACTTAAGGAAATTTCCTGTTTCATTTTTCCTTCGTGGTCTGACATTGTCACATTCTTAATCACGTGTTTATTTTCGTGATATACACACATACACATATATATATACATATACACAGAATAATCTGACAGGGGAAAACAAATGAGGATTATCCGATACAGTTGAGGTGCGGCAAGTGCCTGAGACACCTTTAAGCTCAGTGCGCGTCCAGCGCATGCTCGAGTGCCTAAGAGTACCAACAGCTGTCTGAGAGAGACATTAACCCAAGTGGAACCCACCTGAGATCCTGGCACAGACGTAGTAGTCGCCGATACTCTCTACGATGGAGGCCACGGTGCCGCCCAGCATGCCGACCACGCCCGCCGCCCGCACCGTCGGCCACCCCCACTGTCCTGTAACAACCACATCACACTATTGGCCACATCCACCTGGATTAAATTGAGTCGCTATTTAGAGGGACCGGGATCAAGAACCAGGAAGTTACTCTTGCAGGCGATGAGTCACAATAACGTGGCTCAGCAGTGACTCCCTTGACAGCGGTCGTTCTAGCAGTGATTTCCTTAACTGTGGTTGCTCCAGCAGTGACTTGATGACCAAACCACACATCAGAAACTTGAGAAACGACGAAGTTTCCGGTCCGTCGTGGACCACACGACTTGATAATGGTCCAGGACGGACCATTGGTCCGAAACGTTGTCGTTTCTGAATTTTCAGATATGTGGGGTTTAGTCATCATGTCACTGCTAGTGAGAGCACAGTCAAGCGAGTCTCTGCTAGTGAGACCGCAGTCAAGCGAGTCTCTGCTAGTGCAGTCAAGCGAGTCTCTGCTAGTGAGACCGCAGTCAAGCGAGTCTCTGCTAGTGAGACCGCAGTCAAGCGAGTCTCTGCTAGTGAGACCGCAGTCAAGCGAGTCTCTGCTAGTGAGACCGCAGTCAAGCGAGTCTCTGCTAGTGAGACCGCAGTCAAGCGAGTCTCTGCTAGTGAGACCGCAGTCAAGCGAGTCTCTGCTAGTGAGACCGCAGTCAAGCGAGTCTCTGCTAGTGAGACCGCAGTCAAGCGAGTCTCTGCTAGTGAGACCGCAGTCGCAGTCAAGCGAGTCTCTGCTAGTGAGACCGCAGTCAAGCGAGTCTCTGCTAGTGAGACCGCAGTCAAGGGAGTCTCTGCTAGTGAGACCGCAGTCAAGCGAGTCTCTGCTAGTGAGACCGCAGTCAAGCGAGTCTCTGCTAGTGAGACCGCAGTCAAGCGAGTCTCTGCTAGCGAGACCGCAGTCAAGGGAGTCACTCACTGCTAGAGCACCAGACACATCAGCCAGGAACGGAATGAAGGAGAGGAGAACTATAACCCAGTGCCCTGAAAAAATATTTAAAAAAATTAGGTTACCGCCTCGCAGTACCTGCAGCACCCACCGGGATAAGGGACCCTAAACCATGGGGACTTCAGCAGCAGCGTGCCCGTGGCGTCGGTGCGTGCCGGGGAGCCCTCCGGGAGGACGTCGAAGGTGGTGAGGATGGCGCAGAGGGACCACGCCACGAACACCGCCGTCAGTACCTGTGGTAGGGAAACACTTCTTAGAGGATGGCTCGAAAACTTGATTTTTTTGTTTAGTAAATATGAGCTTTGAAAGTGAAGACAATTAATTTCTGTTGTCGGGGACAGGACGCCTGAACTTATGTTTATCATAGTACCCCCCTCCAGGCCAACTACTGACCATTTCCAGGATGCAACGCACAACAGTTTATTTACCCAGGTACCTATTTTACTGTTAGGGGAACATGCCAGATGTGACCAGACAGTGTAAGGGTTCACAAAACACCAGGGAGCCGGATGCAGCAAGCAGTTAAATAAGTACTTTGGAAACTTTTCAGTCTCATCACCTTCATAGTAATCTCACGATACAACAAACTGTTTACTAACGCAAATCTTTCTAAGAACACTCGTGGAGCTCTCATAGCTTTATGTCAATGATACTTAAGACATTTTCTCGATTACACAACCTTGGCGCTGGAAATATTTCCATCGGAGAGTCATTCGTATTAGTTATATATGGTCTGTAACTCGTAAGAAATATGTATCTTATGAAAAGGCAAATAAAAAGTATCATAGCAAGATATTATTGCAGTAGTTATTAAGTAAATAAACAATGTTGAACATTAAATTTCAGGGAAGCTAATGACTTCAAACTCCATTGGCACCCAGGATGACCCTTCGTCGATTCAATTTTATTTATAAATCCCCACTCTGTATCTAACTGGCACTAGAAATATATTTTGTAAACAAAAAATAATTACAGCACGATATTATTTGAATAACTTAAGTAAACATGTAGTAAGTGTTATATCTATTGAACGTGGCTGGAGTTATTGTTATCTGGATGGATTGTTTTAGCAGCTGGCGCTGGTGACGTTTAGCGCCTTGCCTTGGGTTTTGGTGACTGGCAGATCTCAGCTGTGACATGTATACAGGTCGGTGTAATGTACTCTTGTTTTGTTTGTTCTAGCTTTAGTTCATATACAGTTTGCTTATTGTTATAAGTGCTTAAACTGTATATATGTATTGTATATTATATGGCTTGGTATTATTGCAGGATGTAACTGTACATTATTATTATTAGTAGGGATCCATCAGTCTCGGGAGACTATGGAGTAGCGCTCTGGTTGTCGGTCTGGAGTGGCCTCTCCAGGGCGCAAAGCCAGGGTTGGTTGATAAGGGGGGAGAAGCTGTTACCCATGCAGCAGGTCCTCCCCCCCTCTCCACGGCGCCGAAAGTCTCCAATGGAAAGGCAAATGCCAATACAAATAGTTCCAGCACCGCCGCAAGAACTTTCAGAACGAGATCGAAGGCAACAACGAACTGCCACAGGGGCTCCAGCTCCGGAGTTTACTTCGAAGTTAGTCAAAGAAGGCAGAGTGACTCCAAACCCCGAGACCGCTGTGGTCGGGGCCGGAGAAGAGCCACCCCCATCATGGGCAAGAACGACCCCAGCCTCCTGAGGCAGAGCCTGGGGGGCCACACCAGCCCCAGGAGGTGGACTTCCTGGTCCAGCACCTACGGGTTCCTGACAGAGATCGTCACAGTCCCCTTTCACCCGAGGCCGGCTTCCTTCATGACCCAGCAGAAGGAAGATTGATAATTATTAAATACAACAATATTATAATTATTGTAATAATAATATAATTAATAATTATCACCTGTACATTACCTATTTGATTAATAAAGCCACAAGTCTGGCAGTGTAATTGTTTACCTCAATTTATTGATAAAATAATTCAGCCAATGAACATGGAGCAGTTCCCACGGCCCCGAGCGGTTTGCTACTGACCCAAACTCCACCAACGCGTCTCAAGAATGGCGTCACTGGCTCAAGACATTAAACAAAATTATCTCTAGCAGTACAACAAACTACTCCCACCGTGAACAAGCTGGGTCTCCTGATAAACTACGTTGCTCCACATGTGTGACTACATAGCTGACTGCACTACTTATGATGCGGCTGAGAAATCTCTAAGGAAACTGTGAAGCCCAAGAATGAACTATTCAAGGTATGTGCTTGCAACACGACGCCAAGAACCCGGTGAGTCGATCAGTTTCTTCAGGTATTGGAATTATTAGCTAAAGATTGTCAGTTCAAAGCGGTGACTGCTGCTGAAGCTTGTGATAACTATGTGAGCTCTCGTAGTCATTAATTCACGTAAGATGCTTTCATCAATATACAGTATTTATAATCAACTCGTGTATTAGAAATACAGTAATTAAATTTACATTGTATTTTAAATAATAAATTAAAATTAGTTAACCATTCTATAATTTTATTCATAAATGTCTGTACCATTATACTGACTATATATTTAACTAATTTCTGAACTACAGAAGGAAAACGTACTACCAAGTAATATTGCCTATTATAATTATATATTGTATAAAAAATGGCAATGATCGTATATGATGCTGAATCAAGCAGCGTGTATGTCTAAGTAGCAAGGTAACCGTTACTTTCCCTTATGAAAATTATTCACTTTAAAGAATGCTTTAAGAAAAACATTCTGCATTTTTTTGGTCTCTGATTTTCAAGAGGTATTTGCAACTTGAAAATCTGTCCGTCAAATACGCAACCTTCCATCTGTAGTAACGTCGTCCGCAGTCTTTAAGAAAAAAATATGCCACTGCCAGACGTAATCATGAACTATGGGAAGGGAAAGTTCTCAAGTCCGCTAACAGGAGTCAGCAGTCGTCTGCTCCTGTACCCTCCTGTGTGTAAAACTAGTAGGGTAAGGCTTACCATGAGCTATGGGAAGGGAAAGCTCTCAGCCTGCTAACAGGAGTCAGCAGTCGTCTGCTCCTGTACCCTCCTGTGTGTAAAACTAGTAGGGTAAGGCTTACCATGAGCTATGGGAAGGGAAAGCTCTCAGCCTGCTAACAGGAGCCAGCAGTCGTCTGCTCCTGTACCCTCCTGTGTGTAAAACTAGTAGGGTAAGGCTTACCATGAGCTATGGGAAGGGAAAGCTCTCAGCCTGCTAACAGGAGTCAGCAGTCGTCTGCTCCTGTACCCTCCTGTGTGTAAAACTAGTAGGGTAAGGCTTACCATGAACTATGGGAAGGGAAAGCTCTCAGCCTGCTAACAGGAGTCAGCAGTCGCCTGCTAACTATGGGAAGGGAAAGCTCTCAGCCTGCTAACAGGAGTCAGCAGTCGCCTGCTAACAGGAGTCAGCAGTCGCCTGCTCCTGTACCCTCCTGTGTGTAAAACTAGTAGGGTAAGGCTTACCATGAGCTATGGGAAGGGAAAGCTCTCAGCCTGCTAACAGGAGTCAGCAGTCATCTGCTCCTGTACCCTCCTGTGTGTAAAACTAGTAGGGTAAGGCTTACCATGAGCTATGGGAAGGGAAAGCTCTCAGCCTGCTAACAGGAGCCAGCAGTCGTCTGCTCCTGTACCCTCCTGTGTGTAAAACTAGTAGGGTAAGGCTTACCATGAGGTATGGGAAGGGAAAGCTCTCAGCCTGCTAACAGGAGTCAGCAGTCGTCTGCTCCTGTACCATCCTGTGTGTAAAACTAGTAGGGTAAGGTTTACCATGAGCTATGGGAAGGGAAAGCTCTCAGCCAGCTAACAGGAGTCAGCAGTCGCCTGCTCCTGTACCCACCTGTGTGTAAAACTAGTAGGGTAAGGCTTACCATAAGCTATGGGAAGGGAAAGCTCTCAGCCTGCTAACAGGAGCCAGCAGTCGTCTGCTCCTGTACCCACCTGTGTGTAAAACTAGTAGGGTAAGGCTTACCATGAGCTATGGGAAGGGAAAGCTCTCAGCCTGCTAACAGGAGTCAGCAGTCGTCTGCTCCTGTACCCACCTGTGTGTAAAACTAGTAGGGTAAGGCTTACCATGAGCTATGGGAAGGGAAAGCTCTCAGCCTGCTAACAGGAGTCAGCAGTCGTCTGCTCCAGTTCCCAACTGCGCGAATAAAAACAATATTTAACAACTAAAGAAAGCAATAATAACCTACCGGAAAGCACTTAAAGAACTGCGATTTGAAAATCCTAAAAGTGCCGTTCACCGTCGGAATGGGTATCGGGAGCTGGAGGTTGTTCATGTACTGAGAGAAGAGGATCATGAGCACCATGGTCCTGTAGAGTATACAAACATTGTTAAATTATACCAATTAAACATGATTTTTTGTATTTAGGTTGTATTCACTTTTAGCTACAAGATCAACATCATGTTTGTATCCAATACCATTTTATAAATTGATTGTATTTTTGTTTTTCACCACACTTCCTACTAAGAGGAAGGAACAAGAAAGCAGGCAGAGTTGAGACAACCCGTCCTCCTAATAGCACGTTGCAAATTGACGTATACTTCACCTACGACGAAAAATCGTCGTACTAGAAAATGTTAGCGGCTGGCGAAATTGACACACACCCCCGTTTTATGTTGCGGGTCCTCTGATAGGTTAGGATTAAGGCATATTAGTACGACAGTTTCTTGACATTGGGAAACCTTAGGAGGACGGTTGGTTGAGAATAGGGGTTTAGAAGCTCTGAAGAGAGATTCAGAAGCTTCGGGGAGAAAAAAAAAACGAAAAAAGTTTGTTAAGTATAAGAAATCTAGATTAAAAGAAGGGGGTAAAAATGATCAGCAAATCATTGAGGTAATGATAGACAAAAAATTGCAAGTTCAAAGGTGACTCACAAGATGGAGATGCCCCAGTGCTGAGCCGCCTTGGAGGCCGAGACATCGAAGAGCGAGAGGCCGACTAGAGTGACTGTGGGAACCACAGCCAGAGGCGTGATCCACCTCAGCAGCATACCGATCAACCCTGCAACACACATTACCAGTCAAACCCTCTTAGCTCCCATTATACCATAGCGATAAATATCCATGGAATGCTTCTGGAAGTGACTTTTCAAGATGTACCAATCAAGGACCAAAATCTATGCTGATAAGAACATAAGAACATAAGAACAAAGGTAACTGCAGAAGGCCTATTGGCCCATACGAGGCAGCTCCTATTCTATAACCACCCAATCCCACTCATATACTTGTCCAACCCGTGCTTGAAACAATCGAGGGACCCCACCTCCACAATGTTACGCGGCAATTGGTTCCACAAATCAACAACCCTGTTACTGAACCAGTATTTACCCAAGTCTTTCCTAAATCTAAACTTATCCAATTTATATCCATTGTTCCGTGTTCTGTCCTGTGTTGATACTTTTAATACCCTATTAATATCCCCCCGGTTATGTCCATTCATCCACTTGTAAACCTCTATCATGTCACCCCTAACTCTTCGCCTTTCCAGTGAATGCAACTTAAGCTTTGTTAATCTTTCTTCATATGAAAGATTTCTAATTTGGGGAATTAACTTAGTCATCCTACGCTGGACACGTTCAAGTGAATTTATATCCATTCTATAATATGGCGACCAAAACTGAACTGCATAATCTAAATGGGGCCTAACTAGAGCAAGATATAGCTTGAGAACCACACCAGGTGTCTTGTTACTAACGCTGCGATTAATAAATCCAAGTGTCCGATTTGCCTTATTACGAACATTTATGCATTGATCCTTTTGTTTTAAATTCTTACTAATTGTACCCAGCCCATAGCCCATTGTACCTTTTCGAATTTTAATAAAAAAGAAGGGGGCCACAGTGATTTTTTTCACAGTACCCCTTTCACACGAGGACATCGCCTCTCATTTGCTGCATAAATCCATCATCTTCCAATGCTATCAGAGTACCCCCTTTCCCTAGTCACCTATATCTGGTGTAGCATCTCCCCCACCCCACTCCACCCCAACAAAAAGATGTTTCTTCTTTTTACCTGTGAAGCCCAAGATGATCTGGAAGACGGAGGCAACGGCGATGGATCCCTGGATGTCGCGAAGCCGGACTTGCCACACCTCCGCCCTCGCCGCCTCCGTCAGGTTCGCCAGAGGGAGAGCGTCGCAGGGCTGGTACACCGTCGTCAAGAGGGCAATCGTCGGCACAACATAGGCGAAGTCCCCGCCTTGGATTATGGGCAACCTGGCGGACATGGTACAGGTTGTTAATGGCGGAGGAAAAAAAAAAAGACTTTAAAGATGAAAAGCAAAGGTTTTTAGAAGAAGAAAAACAAGATATCCCCCCGATACAAGGGGATTTGCATGGAACATATACACCTTACTGAACGCATGCCCAACTGTAAAGGTGCCAATTGTGAAGAAACTCCGTCGACGTCAGCTTTAGTAACACAGGTGACAGAGTCTTTGACATCATTTATTTCAAGTAATGTGGGAAAACACTTAGTAAGACAAACTGATTGAGATCAAAAGAATGAATTGGACTGAAAAAGGGCAAAATAAAAAAAGAAAAATGAATGACAATAGTTATATGCTGGACGGAACAGCAGAAATTATAACAGATCAGCATAAGCAATTTGAACTAAATGAACAAACTAAAATGTTTTCTGTATATATGTTTTTTGTACAAGTTTATACCCGGAAGATATCAGCGATTATACAACTTGGTACAAAATCAGTACCGTTTGAAAATAATAAGACACAGGTTGAGATTTAGGAGATAAGATAGGTTACATACGGAATAGATTAGGTAGTACTTCGTGTTTCTCTTTAATTGATTGTGAGATAGGCACAGTCTTTGACATGATTGGCAACCTCAATCCTTCCACACATTATATATATATATATATATATATATATATATATATATATATATATATATATATATATATATATATATATATATATGTCGTACCTAATAGCCAGAACGCACTTCTCAGCCTACTATGCAAGGCCCGATTTGCCTAATAAGCCAAGTTTTCTTGAAATAATTGTTTTTCGACTACCTAACCTACCTAACCAAACCTAACCTAACTTTTTCGGCTACCTAACCTAACCTATAAAGATAGGTTAGGTTAGGTAGGGTTGGTTAGGTTCGGTCATATATCTACGTTACTTTTAACTCTAGTAAAAAAAAATTGACCTCATAATGAAATGGGTAGCTTTATCATTTCATAAGAAAAAAATTAGAGAAAATATATTAATTCATGAAAACTTGGCTTATTAGGCAAATTGGGCCTTGCATAGTAGGCTGAAGTGCGTTCTGGCTACTAGGTACGACATATATATATATATATATATATATATATATATATATATATATATATATATATATATATATATATATATATATATATATATATATATTTAAGTTTGGTTTTTAGTTATACTTTGACCAAACTATAAAAAAATAGTACAAACGTGGCTTATTGCGTTTCAATTACAATATTGGGTTTCAAGTACAATCGATCGCATAATAACAAATGTACTATCATTGTAGAGGACGGATTGTATATACTAAGCCTCCAGCCTATGTGTTCTCCTAGTTGTGTTGCGGGGGTTGAGCTCTGTTCTTTTGGCCCGCATCTCAACTGTTAATCAACTTAGTAGTTACTAACTAGTAACTAATTTTGTCCCCCCCCCCCACACACCCAGGAAACAGCCCGTAACAGGTGTCTAACTCCCAGGTACCTATTTACTGCTAGGTAACAGGGGCATCTGGGTAAATGAAACTGCCTATTTGTCTCTGCCGGCGTCGGGAATCGAACCCGGGCCACAGGATTACGAGTATCGCACTCTGTCCACTCAGCTACCAGACCCCTAAAAGAAAAAAAAAAGAGAGAGAGAGAGAGAGAGAGAGAGAGAGAGAGAGAGAGAGAGAGAGAGAGAGAGAGAGAGAGAGAGTGAGAGTGAGAGTGAGAGTGAGTGTGTGTGTGTGTGTGTGTGTGTGTGTGTGTGTGTGTGTGTGTGTGTGTGTGTGTGTGTGTGTGTGTGTGTGTGTGTGTGAGTGTGTGAGTGTGTGAGTGTGTGTGTGAGTGTGTGAGTGTGTGAGTGTGAGTGAGTGAGTGAGTGTGTGAGTGTGTGAGTGTGTGAGAGTGTGAGAGTGTGAGAGTGTGAGAGTGTGAGAGTGTGAGAGTGTGAGAGTGTGAGAGTGTGAGAGTGTGAGAGTGTGAGAGTGTGAGAGTGTGAGAGTGTGAGTGTGTGAGTGTGTGAGTGTGTGAGTGTGTGAGTGTGTGTGTGAGTGTGTGAGTGTGTGAGTGTGTGAGTGTGTGAGTGTGTGTGAGTGTGAGTGTGAGAGAGAGTGTGAGAGAGAGTGTGAGTGAGAGTGTGAGTGAGAGTGTGAGAGAGAGTGTGAGAGAGAGTGTGAGAGAGAGTGAGAGTGAGAGTGAGTGAGTGAGAGAGAGTGAGAGAGAGTGAGAGTGAGTGAGAGTGAGAGAGTGAGTAATGAGAGAGCGAGAGAACACAGGTGTTGTCCGACACAGTACCTGATGCCGAAGGTGGTCTGGAGGAGAGTGACGAGGCCAGAATGGAAGAAGACAGTCGAGACGAGCTCCCCGCGGGCCGGGTCATCCTCGGCCATACAGAGGAACGACGCTACCAGGATGGGAATAGCCACAGTCCCTCCAGCCATCGTCAGGTAGTGCTGTCAGGAGAACACCACCAGGAACACAGGAAGATATATTAGTTGCTGGAACCATTGGGTGGCGAACCGATCCTTTAAAACTGTTCGCCCCTGTTTACCCAGCAGTAATTGGGAACTAGGCTGTAAACCAACTGACGGGTCGTGTTCCAAGGGAAACTAGTAGGGTAAGGCTTACCATTAGCTATAGGAAGGGAAAGCTCTCAGCCTGCTAACAGGAGTCAGCAGTCGTCTGCTCCTGTACCCACCTGTGTGTAAAACTAGTAGGGTAAGGCTTACCATGAGCTATAGGAAGGGAAAGCTCTCAGCCTGCTAACAGGAGTCAGCAGTCGTCTGCTCCTGTACCCTCCTGTGTGTAAAACTAGTAGGGTAAGGCTTACCATGAGCTATAGGAAGGGAAAGCTCTCTCAGCCTGCTTACAACAGGCAGAAGGCTTCTGCTTACTGTACCCACCTGTGTAAACAGTTGACGAAGAGACTAAATAAGATGATGCGTCTTTGGTTTCACTGAAATACATAAGTAGCAAAACAATGAGGATTCAACTGTTGTACAATATCTAACTATTACGCAATAACAACAATTTAAAAAAAAAACATTATATAGGTGCAAATAAAAAATGTGGTTGAACACAAATAACCGAACCCGCACTTATAAACGTAAATGAAATATTTCTTCCGCCAGTCAAATCTAGGCAGACGTATAATGCAGCATCGATTAAACGTTGATCAAACGTTTATCCAACTTTCAAAACGTTTCTCAAACGCAGAGAAGTTTATCAAACTTTGAAAACGTTTGTTAAACATTATAATTTTTAATATGATTTAACGTTGAAAACACTGATTAAACGACGTACGCGTTGATTCAACTTATTTAAACGTTGATCCAGCTCGATTAAAAGTTGACGCAACAGTAATTTAGCGTCGACTCAACGTTGACTTAAACGTTTCACGAGGGTGTTTTCTCGGCTGGGTGACGTTGTCCGTCGTGGACCCTATTGGCTTGATAAGGCTCCCAGAGGGACCAAGACGTGGGCACGTTTCATTCGGGTTCAGTTAAAAGATAAATTTTAAGGTCTGGAGTTAACCTAACTTAGTCTAGCCTAGCTTGACCTAACCTGGACTAACTTAGCCTAACCTGGACTAGCCTTGCCTAACCTAACCTGGACTAGCCTAGCCTAACCTAACCTGGACTAGCCTAGCCTAACCTAACTTACCCTACCCTTGGAGCCAGTCGGCCGAGCGGACAGCACGCTGGAACCCCTGTACACAGGGATGCCAGAAAAATCAGTTGAAGTGGAATGCTGAGCTCAGGTGCACATTATAAATTATAAATGTTTAGACCACTTAAAGTAAATTTCGGGATAGAAGAGACACGGCACTAACGATCCTTATTAAAGTATTCATTACACCTAGCTTAACCTAACCAAGCCTAGTCTAATCTAGCTTTGCCTAGTCGAATCTCGCCTAGCAAGCCTAACCTAGCCTAGACTAACCTGCCATAGCCTAACCTGCCATAGCCTAACCTAGCCTAGACTAACCTGCCATAGCCTAACCTAGACCAGCTTAGCTGGCTAGGGTAGGCTAACCTAACCTCGCTTAACCTAACCTTCAACATACCTGGAAGCCGAAGAAGATGGAGAAATACCACGGGGGCGAGTCCTCGACGGTGTAGAGAAGGTCATCAAGCGAGTCTTCCTGCAGGAGTGGCTCGTTCTTCCTGTAGGAGACGAGCTCTGTACACCTGACTCTCCCAGCTGTACATTTGAAGTACAGGAGACAATATTATTGATATTCAGCACCTGTACATAGTTAATACACCGTAATTCCGATAGTATAAAGGTCAATGTCACACTTCCATTTATTTAGTGAACTTAAAAGCTTATTAATACTGACGTTTCCTCGTCCTGAGGAACATCGATCTTAACCTCCGACTCTTCTGGTGTGGTAAAGCCACTTCACATTTGACGCATAAAAGCACTTTGATATTTATGCTTTGGACTATCTCAGGGTAGTTAGGTGTTACAGTACGTAGAGAACCTGAAGCCATGATCAGTGGCCCAAGACGACACGGCATCAATCGCAAGTTGAAGCAGAGGCAAATCACCACCCCGACAGCAAAGGGTAAGATCGTCGACATAGAGAATGGAGAAGACGCCAGAAGGAAGAGAGGAAAGAAGACCATTGAGGGCAACCAGAAAAAGAGTAGTGCTCAGAACACTACCCTGGGGCACACCTTCGTATTGCTGAAAAGAGGCAGAGAGTGGTACCAAGCCTCACCCGAAAGGAACGACGAGAGAGGAAGCTGCGGAGAAGAGAAGGAGATCACCACGAAGGTCAAAAGACTGAAGTTGGGACAGAATATGATATCGCCAAGTGGTGTCGTAAGCCTTTTCCAGGTCAAAAAGGGCGGCAACAACGGAGGTCTTCGCAGCAAAAGCAGTACAAATATAGACCTCCAAGTTCACCAGGACATCTGTCGTGCTGCGGCACTTGCAAAAACCAAATTGAGAAGGGGAGAGGTGGTGATGGTGTTCTAAGAACCGCATCAGACGAACGTTAACCATACGTTCAAAGAGTTTGCAGACAACTCCTGAGGGCAATAGGGCGGAAGTCCTTAGGGGATGTCTCAAGGGACCCTGGTTTCCGAACAGGGAGGACAATGGCATCGAGCCAGTCCTTAGAAGCTTGACAGCCTCAAATTTGAAGGTGTATAGCCTAACCGGAAATGTTCGAACCTCGCCAACCCAACTATTATACCGTATTGACGTTACTAATACGCATCTTATTAGTAACGGTGCACATTAATTCCCCCCCCCCCGTATTAATTAATAAAATCTTAATGTGTACACCCCCGTGTGTATTAATTTTATTAATTAATTAATAAATTAATTTTAACCTCCCTAAAAAATGCAATTTTAAAATTTTTAAAATTGTGGCGTAGTAAGAAGCCAAAACAAAAATTATTGTAGACACGACTCAACATGACAATCGTGTGTGGGTAAATATCTCCCCCCCCCCCTAGGAGAATGGTTGGGAGGGCATCCAACAGTAACTTTCAAGATATTATGTAACACACAAGCAAACAAGCGCGTCCTCCCATATGGCACCTCAATTGTTTTTCAAGCACAGCGCCAGGACCCCGCTGCCATGCCCTTGTGTGCATGGCAGCGGCATGCCCCTGTGTGCATGGCAGCGGCATGCCCTTGTGTGCATGGCAGCGGCATGCCCTTGTGTGCATGGCAGCGGCATGCCCTTGTGTGCATGGCAGCGGCATGCCCTTGTGTGCATGGCAGCGGCATGCCCTTGTGTGCATGGCAGCGGCATGCCCTTGTGTGCATGGCACCCCACAACACTGAAGTGCCGCCCATCATCACCTAGCAACACCATGTATTTGAATGATATTTAAACACTATCACAATATACATCCCCCCAAAAAAGTAGGCCCTTTCACTCGGAAACCAATTTATAAATCTTGTTGCCATTTTGTTTATTATAAGAATTGTTGGAATTTTGATCATTTCAACACCCAATGTTGTTCAAAATCATGTTCATTATAAAGATAAACAGAGTTCAGTTCAACATACTGGTTGGATGTGCGTTGGTCGGTTGAAAACGATGCCATGGTTCCTAGGGGGAAACACCTCTGGACCTCCAGCGATGGTCATGTATGGTTCCTGGGGGCACAGAATATACCTAAAGTTCCCAGGTATGGTTATATATGATTCCTTAGTGGGAAGGGCGGGTGTGACACGCCCGTCTCCACATAACGTGACACAAGCCCGTCTCCACATAACGTGACACAAGCCCGTCTCCACATAACGTGACACAAGCCCGTCTCCACATAACGTGACACAAGCCCGTCTCCACATAACGTGACACAAGCCCGTCTCCACATAACGTGACACAAGCCCGTCTCCACATAACGTGACACAAGCTCGTCTCCACATAACGTGACACAAGCCGTCTCCACATAACGTGACACAAGCCCGTCTCCACATAACGTGACACAAGCCCGTCTCCACATAACGTGACACAAGCCCGTCTCCACATAACGTGACACAAGCCCGTCTCCACATAACGTGACACAAGCCCGTCTCCACATAACGTGACACAAGCCCGTCTCCACATAACGTGACACAAGCCCGTCTCCACATAACGTGACACATGCCCGTCTCCACATAACGTGACACAAGCTCCTAATACCTGCTCTAATAATAGTCCTCATTATATATGCATCATGAAAGCCGATGAACGTGATATATATCAATGAAACAAATGTTCTGGACATGCAAAGGGCTCAAACTCTCGTCTCTTAAAGACTTCCCGGGTACATGTGTACAATGATGGGATTATGTGCTACGTGACTTTGTTGGAGGCTTCCAGCAGGTACATATAATTCCCAAGTTTGACAATATACCCGCCCGTACCCGGGTGTACCCGCCCGTACCCGGGTGTACCCGCCCGTACCCGGGTGTACCCGGGTGTACCCGCCCGTACCCGGGTGTACCCGGGTGTACCCGCCCGTACCCGGGTGTACCCGCCCGTACCCGGGTGTACCCGCCCGTACCCGGGTGGTGGTGCAGTTACTGACACCATACCTCTACAATCTTGAGGTTATCTTGAGATGATTTCGGGGCTTAGCGTCCCCGCGGCCCGGTCCTCGACCAGGCCTCCTTTTTGTTACACACCCCCAGGAAGCAGCCCGTAGCAGCTAACTCCCAGGTACCTATTTACTGTTAGGTGAACAGGTGCAGCAGAGTGAAAGAAACTCTGCCCATTTGTTTCCGCCTCCACCGGGGATCGAACCAGGAACCTCAGGACTACGAATACCGAGCGCTGTCCACTCAGCTGTCAGGCCTCTACAATCACTAGTTACTGACCCCATACACCTACAATCACCAGTTAATGATAATCACAAAAGATTAATTCATTATTATTCCATGTAATGTCTTTATTAAGAATGCAAGAGTTGCCCAACTCCCGGCTACCTGTTTTACTGCTAGGTGAACAGGAGCATCAGGTGATTCGAAATGTGTCCCATCGTTCCTATCCATGGATGAAACTAGAGTCCCTCGGTTGTGAATCGAGAACGTAGACAATTGTGCCAACAATTTTGATGAAGATAATGTTTGAATTAAACCAACAAGGATGAAAGTGTTCATAGATAATAGACAATTACACTCACAGCGTTCAAGAGCTCCTCCCGCTTCGACCGCTTCCAGCGGACTGACCGCAGCCCGGCCACCACACCCAGTCACGCCCAGATATCACGTGACTTCTACGTCACTTCACGGGGCAGGCGACTCCTATCACGTCACGCATTTCATGACGCCTACGTTACTTCACGTGTCATATGACTCCTACGTCACTTCGAATGTACAGTACCTACCAGACTATAGCCAAGATTAGGCAGTCTCCGTGGTGTAGTGGTAAGACACTCGCCTGGCGTTCCGCGAGCGCTATGTCATGGGTTCGTATCCTGGCCGGGGAGGATTTACTGGGCGCAATTCCTTAACTGTAGCCTCTGTTTAACGCAACAGTAAAATGTGTACTTGGATGAAAAAACGATTCTTCGTGGCAGGGGATCGTATTCCAGGGACCTGCCCGGAACGCTACGCGTACTAGTGGCTGTACAAGAATGTAACAACTCTTGTATATATCTCAAAAAAAAGATGCCGGCGAAACTGATGTGAGAGTAGCTGAAAGACAAGAACCTGGACACTGAATCTGAATGTGACAGTTCCTGACAAAATCAGGAGGCCTGTAAACCAGATCGCAGTGCGAGAATGTGGGTATTTCTTAAAGTGAACCCCCAAGATACAAAGTGACCTAAGTGCACTTAAGGTGCACTTACACACTAAAAAATGGTATGGCTCGCGAAATTGACACTGTTCAGTTTTTTTTTTTTGGGGGGGGTCCTTTGGTAGGTTAGAGTACGGCCCCATTAGTACAACAGTTTCAGGACGTTGGGAAACGTTAGTTAGGAGGACGGGCTGCATATCCACCAGCGGGAGCCTACACAGAGCTGTGAGTCGAAGTTACCCCAACTGAAGGCTCGCCTCGGCCTCCCAACACGAATTACTATTAGACACTCACCCTCAGTACCTAAGCAGCTTAACATAGCGTGGAGGAACACCTGCCCCAGCAACACTAGCAAATTAACCTGCCGGGGCTGCTGCCGGGGCTGCTGCCGGGGCTCCTGCCGGGGCTCCTGCCGGGGCTGCTGCCGGGGCTCCTGCCGGGGCTGCTGCCGGGGCTCCTGCCGGGGCTGCTGCAGGGCGTGGGAAATATAAGCCCACCTCGCCCTTGTCAGTCTGCAAGACAATGTCCGCCAGCCTCACACCTGCCTGCCGCCCTCCCTCTCATCCATGGCGTCCTCCACCAGCTCCACAATTGGATTTCCTCAGATTTCTACTGTTAAATGCCTCAAGCGTCTACGCCAGGGGCCAGATTCACGAAGCAGTTACGCAAGCACTTACGAACCTGTACATCCTTTTTCTCACTCTTTGGCGGCCTTGTTTACAATTATTAAACAGTTAATGAGCCCCGACGCACCAGGCGGCTGTTTATAACAATAACAACAGTTGATTGGGAAGTTTTCATGCTTGTAAACTGTTTAATAAATATAACCAAAGCCGTCAAAGATTGAGGAAAGATGTACACGTTCGTAAATACTTGCGTAACTGCTTCGTGAATCTGGCCTCAGGATTGGTCGCATGACAGTGTAACACACATGACCTCCCCCCCCCTTAGAGTTCACACCCAGGGAAGCCTGCTCCAAGAGGTCAGCCCAGATAACCTCCGGATTATCTTGTATGTTGATTAAAAAAAATTCCTGGGTTAGTCTTAGCATAGTTTCAAGTATGTAATATTTCATGATATTCTTGTCAAACATTGCAAGGGTATTAGACTCCAGATTCTTATATGTAAACATCCATGGATCTCCCTTCCCCCCCCCCCCCCCCGTTTGGCCAGGTCAGAGGTCAGTCACACACGTAATTAATAACTCCTCTCTTGAAGAGTGTATGGTGAATGCCAAACAAACTTATTGAAATATTTTTTAAGTGTTTGTGCACGTGTGGCCCGACCCCCCTAGCATTTCTGATCTAGGTAGCAACAGTAAATCTCCCCTCCCCCCCTTTTGGGGTATATATATTGGTCCTGTAGAGATTTAAGAACAGAGTGCGGTACACCAGGATCGAGAGCGGGTTGGCAGTGTACCTTTGAGTTCCGGTGTAACTATCATATGTCAGCTCATAACAGTGTTACCAAGTGCAACCGATGGGGAAGTGTTACTCAGGATAAGTAGTGTTTACATTATTAGTTTAGTATCCATTATAGTGGTGTTACATTCGAGTGGTATTACATTAGAGTGGTATTACAATGAGGGAACTGAAAAGGAATAGAGGGGGATTGCAACCCTATTGAGAACCCCTTCCATTCTGATAACATCTGAGTGGACATATAAAATCAAACAAATTGCCAATAAAGATAGAATTCCACAAAATAACACAGTATCTGTAACTTTGTCACCGAGCATCATATTAACCTGAAAATTTAACACAATGTTCTATGTAACGAATGAACATTACAAAGTAAATCACAACACACACACACTCGCTGTAAACACAATATACACCGCGCGGAGCGTCTGCAGAAAGATGCACGGACGTACGACAGTACCCTTCCTGAGTGGACGAGAGTTATTATGACAGTACCCTTCCTGAGTGGACGAGAGTTATTATGACAGTACCCTTCCTGAGTGGACGAGAGTTATTATGACAGTACCCTTCCTGAGTGGACGAGTTATTATGACAGTACCCTTCCTGAGTGGACGAGAGTTATTATGACAGTACCCTTCCTGAGTGGACGAGAGTTATTATGACAGTACCCTTCCTGAGTGGACGAGAGTTATTATGACAGTACCCTTCCTGAGTGGACAAGAGTTATTATGACAGTACCCTTCCTGAGTGGACAAGTTATTATGACAGTACCCTTCCTGAGTGGACGAGAGTTATTATGACAGTACTCTTCCTGAGTGGACGAGAGTTATTATGACAGTACCCTTCCTGAGTGGACGAGAGTTATTATGACAGTACCCTTCCTGAGTGGACGAGAGTTATTATGACAGTACCCTTCCTGAGTGGACGAGAGTTATTATGACAGTACCCTTCCTGAGTGGACGAGTTATTATGACAGTACCCTTCCTGAGTGGACGAGAGTTATTATGACAGTACCCTTCCTGAGTGGACGAGTTATTATGACAGTACCCTTCCTGAGTGGACGAGAGTTATTATGACAGTACCCTTCCTGAGTGGACGAGAGTTATTATGACAGTACCCTTCCTGAGTGGACGAGAGTTATTATGACAGTACCCTTCCTGAGTGGACGAGAGTTATTATGACAGTACCCTTCCTGAGTGGACGAGAGTTATTATGACAGTACCCTTCCTGAGTGGACGAGTTATTATGACAGTACCCTTCCTGAGTGGACGAGAGTTATTATGACAGTACCCTTCCTGAGTGGACGAGAGTTATTATGACAGTACCCTTCCTGAGTGGACGAGAGTTATTATGACAGTACCCTTCCTGAGTGGACGAGAGTTATTATGACAGTACCCTTCCTGAGTGGACGAGAGTTATTATGACAGTACCCTTCCTGAGTGGACGAGAGTTATTATGACAGTACCCTTCCTGAGTGGACAAGAGTTATTATGACAGTACCCTTCCTGAATGGACGAGAGTTATTATGACAGTACCCTTCCTGAGTGGACGAGAGTTATTATGACAGTACCCTTCCTGAGTGGACGAGAGTTATTATGACAGTACCCTTCCTGAGTGGACGAGAGTTATTATGACAGTACCCTTCCTGAGTGGACAAGTTATTATGACAGTACCCTTCCTGAGTGGACAAGTTATTATGACAGTACCCTTCCTGAGTGGACGAGAGTTATTATGACAGTACCCTTCCTGAGTGGACGAGAGTTATTATGACAGTACCCTTCCTGAGTGGACAAGTTATTATGACAGTACCCTTCCTGAGTGGACGAGAGTTATTATGACAGTACCCTTCCTGAGTGGACAAGTTATTATGACAGTACCCTTCCTGAGTGGACGAGAGTTATTATGACAGTACCCTTCCTGAGTGGACGAGAGTTATTATGACAGTACCCTTCCTGAGTGGACGAGAGTTATTATGACAGTACCCTTCCTGAGTGGACGAGTTATTATGACAGTACCCTTCCTGAGTGGACGAGAGTTATGACCGCGCGCCCAAGATGAAACAGGTGTTGATAACTTAGTATAAACAATCTCTCAGATCGTCGCATGAGAAACACATGAAACAGTCTCCGTGGTGTAGTGGTAAGACACTCGCCTGGCGTTCCGCGAGCGCTATGTCATGGGTTCGTATCCTGGCCGGGGAGGATTTACTGGGCGCAATTCCTTAACTGTAGCCTCTGTTTAACGCAACAGGAAAATGTGTACTTGGATGAAAAAACGATTCTTCGCGGCAGGGGATCGTATTCCAGGGACTTGCCCGAAACGCTACGCGTACTAGTGACTGTACAAGAATGTAACAACTCTTGTATATATCTCAAAAAAAAAAAAAAAAAGTACACATGTGCACACAAGAGGCGTTAGGTGCATATACAATCTTATCGACACTGAAATTCCTTATACTTATGAAAAGAACTTGAGTAAAATAATAAAATAATTACTTATAATATAAGTAATTATGAATTCCCTTAACTAATTGTAAGACTACTCTCGTGGTGATTAAATCTCCGATTGTTCCTCGGTAAGCTACGCCTGTTAACTACGTCTCACCCGCCCTTGGGGAAAAACATCGAACACTAGCAGCCGTCCTCCCTAAGACACAATTCACGACTAGAATGTTTGAGGTCAGCCTCGCTGCCAACATGACCCCCTCTATGATGATAACTCAGCTACACTCTAGGTGACGCAGCACCATCTGCGGCCTTATCGTTAAAAATCTAAAACTTGAAGCATCTCCTAGCACTTCAGAAATGTATCAGTAAGAGTCCTTCACTGATAATTTCCCAGACAACCTGCCGAACAGATTGCTGTACAACCTATAACTGGGTTGTACACCCCTGGAAGCTATGAAGAGAAACGAGAACTAATTTCTGTCCATAGATTTCAGAGCGAAGCGCATACCCCAAACTTTTCTCTAGTTTCCCGTATGACGCACTTGAATCATAACACTTAAAAATACGTGTGGCTCCGAGCAACGAAATCACGAGCCCGCCTAAACAAACAAACAACGACAACACTGTTATGAGCTGACATATGATGGTTACACCGGAACTCAAAGGTACACTGCCAACAAGGAAATGCTAACCCAGGATTAAATACGCTGCCACCATCTGCCTTTGACCATTGAGACTATATCAAGCAACGAGGCAAGAA